AGTTTGAAAACCTGTGCCATTTTCCCTTTCTGTGTCTCTTATGTCCCATCTGTATCCCTTTTGGTTCCAGCTGCGATACTATGACTCGGGCGAAGACACAAGCTGTAAAGGCCACATTGATCTGGCTGAAGTAGAAATGGTCATCCCTGCTGGCCCCAGCATGGGAGCCCCAAAGCACACAAGTGACAAGGCTTTCTTTGATGTAAGTTGATTTTGCATGTCTTTTCCTAGCTCTGTCTGCCCATGAATTCTTATAATCCATCCACCTCCAAGAAGTATAGGGCCTCAGAGCAATTGGTGGTGACTGCAGATGGGTCACAGATCCCCTGGCTCTGGAAATTGCTACAGAACTTGAACTCAGCACTCTTGATCCCCAATCCTGACCTCTCCCAGCTGTTCATATGTCTCAGAAAGGCTACACATTGCTTTACACAAAGGATTCCTTCAAAAGGTATCCACCCACTTATGGAAGCAGATGAACTCCTTGTTAAATATTGTTAGTTATTCCCTCACCACCTACTGCCAAGAACAGATGCTGCTTCCTTTGCATCTAGTGGTGTGCATGCTTGACCGTCCTCAGTCACACAGGATGACTGTCGGCCCTGACATCTTCAGCAGCCCTTAGGTGGGCTGTGGGGCATTTTATGGGCCACAGCGTAGAGGGTTTATCTAGTCCCTGGAGCCAAGCAGGGCTTCATAAAGTGCAGAGGTCATACTCCAGGGTCCTGCTCAGGCCATGAGGCCCTTCCCCTGACTCTGGGTTTACAGCGTGGCCCTAACTGAAGACTAGAGAAAGGGATGGAAGGGGAACACGAAAGCCAACTTCATCCTGGTGCAGATGAGTCTCAGGCTTCCCCAGGGAGCACAGGAAGCTTTCTCGGCACCTTTGCTGTGTTGGTACAGTGCATGGGAGAGGCCAGAGGCTCCAGCCATTCCTGACCCTCCTTCGTAGTCAAGGAAGACCCTAGGAAGATGCAAAGTAAGGCTCTGCTCATGTGTCTCCTTTTTCTGCCAGTACCCTTCTGACAGATGTTAATCTGCCATAGGGATGTTAATCATCCCCTGTGACTTTGGGGACCGGAAAAATAGTGTGACTCAAAAGGAGAAGTTCTGGGCAGTACTGAGAGGGAAGGTCCCCAGGATTGATTCGCACACTTGCCCAAACCCGTAAAACAGCCCAGCCCTTCATCTCTGGTTCTCTTCATTTGGTTTTGTAGCTCAAGACCAGCAAACGTGTATATAACTTCTGTGCCCAGGATGGACAGAGCGCCCAGCAGTGGATGGACAGGATCCAGAGCTGTATCTCTGATGCCTGATGCCCATGGTCAACCCAAGCAGAAGAGGGAGGAAGGACTCATGCTGCCAGATAGAAAAAGAGTGCATGAATCCTTGAGGAGCTGACAGCTTCCTGTTCAGTTCTGATGAGTCATCCTAGGGCCTGAGGTTCTCCGGGCCAGTTTCACCCAGTCCCCTCTTTCAGCAGTTGCTATGTCTGCTTAGCCTGAGTGGATGTCTCACACAGGTCTGGTCAAGAGCCCCAAGCATTCCCTGTATCTTGCACTAGATTGTTCTAACAGGGTCTTAGTGGTTAGGGATCAGAAGAATGCTTCCTGAGCGAACCGTCCTCCATCCCAAGGCAAAATGGCTAGCACCTACGTGGGTCCTTCATGAAAGCTAGATCCTTTTTGTTCTCCAAGGTCATAATTTCCTTGGAGAGCTTTCTGACAAGCAAAAATCAAAACCCTCCGAGATCATCTTACATTCTGCATAGAATAGGTTTCTCATCAGCAGCTCCTACTCTTGCTGCCTGACCTTGGAAATGCTTAGTTCTCCGGTGCTGCCAAAAGGTGCTTCCATAATCCCTGCTCAGCCTCTGGGCTTGACAGCAAGAACAGTGGTGCTCAGTGGCAGGCAAAGGGGGAGCACACGGGGTTATCCTGGGAGAAGAAGACTGTCCAGGGAATGACACAGCAGTGACCAGGCCAACGCAGGAAAACACTGCTTCCAAAACACTGAATTCTCTAGGCCGAAAGTACCTGAGGATCCAGGATCTTGTGTTCCTATGTATTCTTCTGCTCCCTGACAGCTTCTCACATGAAATAACATGCAAAAAGCTGAATGCACTAACCCATGAAACAAACTCGCACTGAACTCCGAATGAAGTGAAGACGTTGGAAGACAGAAGCCAGCTGTTTGTGACCACACAACACCTGTGACTAGCGCTGTGCAGACCGCGGTCGCACTGCGGCGTGATCGGACGCCCAGACGACGTCTCTGCACGTGAACAGTGAGAACTGTTTGTAGATTTTCTTTACTCTTAACCTTGTGTTTGCTCGGCCTGAGGTCCGAGGAGTGCTGTCTGTGCACGGGCAGCGGGAGCAGCAGCTCTGGCTGGAGTCAGAGATTCTGAAATGTTAATATGTTACATACCAAACTAATGTTTCAAAATATGTATATATGATTTCTAGATCCTTGTTTTTCAGATAGTCTGCTTATAATTTAATATAAAATTAACTAAACTGATTCAGTCATAAGATTTCAGTAATAAAATGGTTTCCTTTTTAAAAAATAAAAAGCCATTTTGTCTTTGTAGATTTAAAAGAAATCCGATTTTCAAATTTAAAATTACACACTAGGAAATAGAACTGTGTTAATATATAAGAAATTGGAGGAAATAAGAATGAAGGATTTTTCTATCATTTCCATTTTATAAATTGCCACCTGTGAAAATTGTTTTTGCACATTATTTGTATTTTTCTTTGTATATGAAATAATTTTTTGTACTTTGTAAAATACGGAGCCCATTGTACCTTCCTCTTTGAGACTGTACACAGTGCTGCTTTTGTAACTGGATTCTTTAACTTTCATAAAGGCGCTACATGCCTTACATTCACTAACCACCTTGGATTAAATTTACTTCTTAAGAAAAAGTGTCCCTCACTCACTGTGGAGTAAAGGTCCTTCTGGCTGCCTGGCGCTCGGGAGGCAGCATTCAGGATTCACACATGGGAGTAAAGGTTCAAGGGCAAAACGCAGTGTGCCCCGTTTGCCTTGGTTCTGTTAACGTCCTCACTGCCGTGTGCTCAGGAGACGCTGGACATGTTGGCCTGAGCTTCCAGGTCCTGGACACACTGCCGCGGGGCTGAGGCGAGAGACCTAAGGCCGCCCTGTGCCTCTCACGAGCTGTGTGAAACTGGTGAAGTCCTTTACCAATTCTGGATCACAGTTTTACCACCAATGATATGTGGCCATTTGTGAGAATTTTAGGCGGGAGAAATCGAACTCTGGTTGAGTAGTGGGTTTTTCTGCTTCAGGAAAGTGTTAAACAGCACAAATGAAGGATCAGTGATTTCAGCTCTGGACAACGCTTCCTCTGGTGGGAGCCCCTGGAGTTTACTTTGGAGACCTTGGCCGCATCTCGACTTGTCGCCAACAGTCTCATCTCAGGGCTGACCCGCTAAGCCTGCTGATATCCAGGAGCCCTCTCTGAGCAGGCACGAAGGGCCCCCAGGAACCACAGAGCCTCAAGGTGAGGCGGTGACGTCTCCCTCCTTGAGCCTTCAGATTTCCTCTGTCTGGAGGGCTCGTGTGATCCAGGGAAGGGCCCTTGGGCCTTCATTGGTCCCAGGCCTCTCTTCTTAATGACTGGCCCTGGCACCTGCCATTCTGCCCCTGCTGTGTCTCTGAGAGTCAGTCAGGAGAGAAATAACTCGGCTTGGGGGCTGAGCACAGCTGCATTCAGTGTCAGAATCCAGATGCCCTTCCTCAGGTCTTAGCTGTGAGGGAGAGAAGGGCACTGGGTTCCAAGGAGGAAAGACTAGGGCCTGGCGCCCTGCAAGAGCCCTACCAGGGCCCCCCCCTCCACTGTGGCTCCTGTGACAGAGCCTTTCTACATCTGGGCTCTTAGAAGACGCAGACCCAGGGGAGCACCTCAGTGCAGGCCCGCCTCCCCAAGCCCTTAGGCCAAGTGCTTTCTTCCCAACCCTAACCCTCCACCTGCCACCTCCATTCCAGAGCTAGAGCTGAACTGTTCATCGCATGGCGGGTTTACTTCTCAGTGGAAATCGACATTTCTAGATATTTTGTCAGGAGTTCTTTTAATAGTTAAGTAATCCCATTCACTGCATAAAGCATTTCTGTAAGATCTCAAGCTGGTAACCAGGAAGTGCTCTCAGCAGTGGCAACCAGAGCTCTGAGTTAAGCAGAGAATAAAGCAGTGCTGATGAAGAGACGGGGCTTCGAGCAGCCTCGTCAGGTAGATAGAGAATGTGAGCCACTTAGGAATCTTTTTTAAAAAGTAAAAATAGAGAAAGTTCTTTTTTTTTTTTTTTTTGGAAGATGAGCCTTGAGGTAACATCTGTGCCCATCTTCCTCTATTTTATATGTAGGATGCTACCACAGCATGGCTTGATGAGTGGTGTGTGGGTCCACGCCCGGGATCCGAACCAGTGAACCCTGGCCGCCAAAGCGGAGTGCATGAAGTTAACCGCTATGCTGCCGGCTGGCCCCTGAAGTTCATTTTAATTACATATTTTATCTTATTTTTAATAATATATTTTATATAACCCAATACATCAAAATTATTATTTCAACATGAAATCAATACAAAAAATTATTAATGAAATATTTTATAATCTTTGTTCATACCGAGTCCTCAAAATCCAGGGTGTGTTTTACACTTACAGCACATCTCTGTTTGGACTAGTGTGTCATCTTTTTCCTGACACCACTTCTCATAGCAAATGCATGTCATTTTTCCACACCAATTCTCCAGCACCAACTGCGCATCCAACAATTTCATTCAATTCTGATGCGAACTCCCCAGAGTTAGTGCTGGCTCCACAGTTTAGGACTCCATCCCACAAGACTGCCCCCACTTTAGATGCCAGGTGCAAGTCCCAGGGGTCACCTATACTTACGACTGACCAGCTATAAATTGGGAGGTTCCCATAACCCCCTCCTCAGGTTCAATGATTAGAAGAGCTCACAGAACTCAAGAGAACACTTTACTTGTTTATCAGTTTATTTTGAAGGTACCACTCCGCAGCAGCCACGTGGGAAGGAGGCGTAGGGCTGTGGGAGAAGGGGGAGGGCAGACCTTCCATGCCTCCCGGGGCCTCCACCCTCCCGGCGTCTCAATGTGGTCACCAACCGGGGGCTCTTTGAATCTTGTTCAAGAGTTTTTATAACTCATTCTCCAGCCCCCACCGCCTCCCCTGAAGCTGCAAGTTCCCACCCTCCATGCACATGTTTGGTCTTTCCAATGACCAGCGCCCATCCTGAAGCTATCTAGGGCCCCACCGTGAGTCACTTCGTTCGCATAAACACAGGTGTGGTCAGAGGCGCTCCTTGTGAATAACGAGAGACACGCCATCACCCAGGAGATTCTAAGGGTTTGAGGGACTCCAGGCCAGGAACCCAGGACAAAGACCAAGTGTTTTTTTATTACACCACAACTAGCCACATTTCCGGTGCTACCACAGTAGACAATGCACATTTAGAGCAAGCAGCCTGCTCACAGAAGAGCCTACAGTGGGAAGAGCTGGCGGGTAAGACCCCTGGGTGCTGGCTCTATTCTAGTTCGCCATGTGACTTTGAACTAGTGCCTTAACTTTGCTGGGCTTTGACCTACAAAATGAAGGACCCAGATGGTTTTGTGATTCCAACTGTTTACCTTTGCAAAGACTCAGGTTCCAAACTGAGATTTAAAGGATTTAAACACAAAATCATCTAAATCAGTGCTTCTCAAATTGTAATGGAAGGGAAGCAGGGGAGCCTGGGAGAGCCAGGAGACCATGGTGCGGGTGTGACCTTGTGAAAGAGAGAAGGAAGGAGAGGTGGGCGGAGGAGACTTAGACTGCAGGGCAGGTCTAATGAGGCTCGGCAAGGCAGGTGAGAAGTCCTCAAGCCATCGGCAATCTCCTGAGGACGGCCTGCCAGGATCCCCGCCACGCTCAGTCACTGGCAGGCAGCAGCTCGTAGGAAGTGCATTCTTAGTGCAAACTCAGTAATAGATTTCAGGATACAGCAGCTGGCGCTGGCGGCCACTTCCAATCCCTGCAGCCAGAGAACCGAGAGAAGTCTTCATGGTTGTCACAGTCCACCCTTGTGCCACACGGTGCTGCTTCTCCACCAGATACAGAGGGCAGCTCTTGCCTGTTTCCCTTGGGCTGTTCCTAAGGGAGACTCAGAAGAGAGAAAGGGAGATGGTAGAACTAACTACAACCCCCGTCGGTGTATTTAGTCTCATCCTCTCCCTCCCCTACCCTCCATCCTGAATCCTCCTCACGCTCAGCAACCTTGGCAGAGGTTGATGGCTCACCTGGTGGTGTGACCCCAGCCTTCATTCCGGGGAAGGGGGAAAGGGGACCTCAAGGCTTGGTAATCAAACCCTTCTCAGGTCAGGGTTGCTGCGCATGTCCTTTCATGATGACAGTGGGGATCATCTGGGAGTGCTCAGTGGATCACCTGGGTGCACACATTCCTTCCTGTCCCCATTATGGAGTAGCAGCCCTGAATCCTGCTGATCAGGGTCAAGTCCCCCGGCTGGTCCCTGGACATAAGGAATCCAAAGTGCCCTGGTGGCAGCCATAGTCTAGTCCAGTGGGACCCTCCAGTGTCCCTGGTCAAATGCTGTACTGGGTGGAATTCCATGCCTTCAGATCAGGCGTTCTGTAAGTCCCTGGACAGCAGTGCTGACTGAGGCTCTGTGGTCAGGAAAGGCAAACCCATAATAGATCTCTTTCCCAAAGAGGGTGAACCGCTGACGCTTCGGGATGGAAGGAGCCTGATGCAGTTGACTTGCCTTCAAGCGGTGAGTTGGGCTCCTTGAGACACAGTGCCACTGCAGGGGCTCAGCACTGGTCTCTTTTGCTGATGGGTTGGACATTCAGAGGCAGCAGTTCCTAGGGAGTCCGTGCTGCTGGGCCCATGTTAGCCCCTCTGTGGCTTCTGCCTCTGCCACTGTGGCCATTCCACTCATATGCCCATCATGCCAGTTCCAGAGTAGCCAATGACAAGGACTGGCTTGTGTCAACTGTCCAAGACATTTTCTTTCCTTGCTTATTCACTGCTGCTTCTGTTTCGAGTGCTTTCTAATGGGCATTAGTGTGTGGTACTGCAACCCTCACGCTTCATGCTTTATCTCCTGCATCCATCCACATGCCTCTACCTCACACCTCCTTGTCCCCAATCTGCCAGTCCTTTTCCTTCCAGGCCCCTGAACAAATGGCCAGACCATTGGCCACTGCCCAAGAGGGTGTATATATTCTCACCACCTTGGGCCACTTTTTCTTGTGCAACAAGGTAGGTGAGCAAGCACTCTGCTCACAGCTCTATCCAGGAAGAATATTTTCCCTTTCCCTTACACCTGTCATACAGCCACTGTCCATCTTCAGCTTGTACCCATGTGCCACTTTGACCCATCCATAAACCAAGCTCAGGCTTTTTCCTCCTCTTTCAGTTGGTTGTACAGAACCCTCCATGCGACCATAAGTACAAGCCAGAGAATGGGCTCTGGCTATGTCCTCATGCAGTTTACTCATGCCCTCTGCCTCAGTCTGGCTCAGTCCCAGAGGCAGCATTTCTGTCTTATGACGGACTGCTGTCAGCCCCATCTGACTTTATGACTTGATGCATCCAACAGAACCCAGCTCAGAGGGCAGTTTCAGATGTCCCACTTGGTGTGCCCTGGGCGAGTGTTCTGTCTCTACCAGACCCCAGTAACATGCCAGAAACAGTTTCTCAAAAGGCATGCAGCCCTCTGTTGCCGATGGTGTGGCCTTGCCATGGAATCCCAGGGTCCTGCTCTACACTTCTCCCACTGGGACTTGACATAAGCTCCAACTACACCTTTTCCCTCTCCCACTATTGACTATTCCAGCACCAGAGAGTCTGCCAAACAGCATAACCCAAATGGCAGGACTGCTTGCACTGCAGCCTAAACCTTCAGCAGAGCCTCTTCCCGTCCTGGGGCCCACCTACAGCTGGCAGCCTTCCTTGTCACCCAGAATAATGGGTTGTCTCTAACCCCAAGAGGGTTACCAGGCATTGTGCTTTCTTGTGGTAAGAAATACAAAATGCAGCCATTTCGTTTACTTGGGAGGGGATATCTTGGCATCCCCCTGACCACTGAACCCCTTCAAAACTTCATTGAAGTGGTAGGTCTTTGAATCGTCATAGGTTTTATATGCCGCACTCTGGAGTGCATGTGACTTAGCCGCGGCTTCCAGCATAGGGACACCTCTTGCTCATCCTGTCTAACCAGCATGGCGCAGCGATGCAATGGATCAGGGTGATGTTCTGTGGGATCATGGTCCTGATCTCTTGGGATTATATTAAGTCAGAGAGACAGTTAACATAGCCCCGAGGCAAAAGTGTAAATGAATATTGTTGTCCATCCCATGTGAATGTGAACTGTTTCTGATCCTCTTTTCTAATTGGAATGGAAAAGACCACAGGCACTGAATTACTGCTGGCCACATACCTAAGGCCTCGTGAACCTGCTCCGGCAAGGACTCCACGTCAGGCACAGCAGCTGCGAGCAGGGCTCCCCCTTGGTTAAGCCGTGGCGGTCTGCGGTCTTCCTCCAGGATCCGTCCAATTTCTGCAGAGGTCAGACTGGTGAGTTAAATGAAGAAATCAATGGTAGGGACCACACTCCTTCATCCTTAGTTGTTAGTCGTGGAATTAATTTCTACCACAGCCCCTAGGATGAGATGTTATTTTTGGTTTACTATCTCGGGCAGGGCGAGGAGAAGGGGCACGGCAGTTTCAGAAGTTTCTACTTGGCCTTCTTGGCTCTAATAGCTCCCACCCAGTAGACCAGGACTGAGGTAGGGGTTACTCCAACTGTCAAAGCATGTGAATTCTAATGACACTCTCAGGGACAAGGGGCTTCTGGGTGGGTTCGTGGACCCAGCAGGCCCACTGCAATCCAGACTTTAGCCAGGACTCCACTTACTGCCTGACCACCATGGCCTGGCTCTGAAAAGGGGCCCACGATGATGCTTTGAGTCTCCAGGTGTTAACGTCAACTCAAACTCTGTGTCTACTAGTCCTCAAATGTCTTGTTATTCCCCTTTCTCTAGTGAACAATCACCCAAACAAATGGCCACAGGCCTTTGGAAGAATCCTGAAGGAATCATCATGATACATACTTGAGGTTTGGCAGGGTCCTATTCCTAGAGATCTGGCCACCTCTTCGGTCAGCGGGTTTCATATCTGAAAATTGGTTCAGGTCTGGGAACTGAGCAAGGGACGGTGACCTCCTATTGCCCCTGCCTTCTGCTCCCCCACTCCTGTCTGCTTTTCTGGCTGTAGATATTAAGCAGAGGCTTCTTGGCTGCCCCTCTGGTTTGCTCCTGGGGATACCCTGCTCCATTCACCATCTCCACAGCTTTCTGTGGGTCAAGCCCCCTTGCCTGCCCCTCTGTCCTTGCCTGTCATTACTGGCCTTAGATAACAAATCCGTTCCAACGTGTCCACTTTCCTCAGCTTTTTTAACTTCTTCTCTACCATCTGCCAGGAGAACTCAGGTATTTCCACTGCACTGAGTGTTAGCCACTACTTTTTCCAGACTTCTAAGAGCCACCCTAGCAGAGTCTGCCCCATCCCCTGGTATCCTCGCTAGGATATTAAATCTTGCGTCTCAAGAAAGTGCCCTCCAGCCGATGGATTCTTGTTAGCCAGTCTTACATTCCAGCCTCCTTAATCAGGCATTCGCAAAATCCAGTCCCAGGAGCATCCCTGGTTTGTTCCAGGATCCATGAGAGTTACCATTCTTTCATGATATAGTCTCTTTCCTCCCTTATCAGGCCCAGCATGTCTGCAGCCAGATTATTCTGGAATTCAACCCTAATGCTTGTCCCTGGCACCCAGGAGAGGCAGTGGGGCAGCCACTGAGAGGGCCCCTGCCGGGGCGAGGCCTCTTGGGAATCTTTCAGCACTGCAGAGGGGTAGCTCTTCTGCAGAAGGGCGGGCCACCTCTGCAAGCTCAGAGGGTCAGGGAGGCTGCGCGGCGGCCTCAGGGCATCCATCCAGATGTCTTTATCTCATGGGTCAGGGGTCCAGATTTTCCCCACCAGGGCCCGATCTTCTCATAACCGCCTTGGCTGAGCCTTCAGACTTATCTGGCGCTCTGCAACGCTAACGGTTTGTCTTCAGCCCGCCACTCAGCCGTATCTGCCCTCCACTGCCAGAGATAAGGGCCTCTTTGTAAGCCACCGCAGGGCTCTCGGCCTCCACGCCTACCCCTCCACTGCTCATTAGTGGCCCGCAGTCCTTCTTCCCTCTGCAGTAACCAGCCAATTTTTTGAAGGCATCTTTGCCCCTCTATTTTTCAAATGCTTGAATTATCACACCTGCCAGCACTCCTCTCCTCCAGGAAATTTTCCCAGGTCCTCGCTGGTGAAATGTTTAGCATTTGAGCTGCTGCCTTGTTCTAAGGACTCTCTGGGGGCCTCCTATCAATCAGGACAACATCTTCCTCCCCATTGCCTCTGAGTGGGACAGCCCCAAATCCCCATCTTACCACTGTTTCCTCAGACTACTTACATTCGTTCTGGTCCTTGAAGAAGCAGACACCAAGACAGGACTCTATGTGCAAGAGATTTATGGGGGACACCTGTGAGGGAAGATGGGCGGGGAGCCAGGGGGAAGTTGGGAGGGACGTCAGACTGTGACGTAGTTTGGACCCTGCGGAGGAGAGAGGGCAGGACAGAAGGTGGGGTGAAGAGTCTCAGGTTGTGGTTCAGATCTAAGAAAGTAGCAAGCCCTTGGGGAATCCTTGTGCCAACTTGTCTGTCGGGGGGGGTCTTGCATCTCCAAGAGGGGACCTGCCGGAGTCAATGGCTGGAAGCAGCCTGAGGGCCTCAGTGCAAACAGTGATGGCCATGATCCGGGCACAGTAGCGGGGACCAGTCTGAAATCTGAGAGGCGCGTTTGCACCGCCACCACCAAAGGTCTGGGGGCTTATCTCTTTTGGAGTTCTGGACCCAAAGGAACAAAGATGTCAGCATTTTCTACCTCAGGTCAGTGTACACTGAAGCTTCTGGCTTGCGACTTACTAGCTTTGGGGCCTTGGGTGGTACTTAACTTCTCTGAGCCTCATCTTCTTCACCTATAAAATGAGAATAAAAATTGTTATGATGTGAAAGTACCCAGCACAAAATGGGTTCTCAATACATTGTTGGTTGAATGAAATTTATTCAACAAACATGTGATAAACACCTAGGCCAGGCTGGGCGCTGTTCTGCTCCCGAGGAGTCTCTGGGTAAGATACAGCGCAGGCCCAGAGAGCTCGCAACCAAAAGAAGGACAGACTATGGTGCACAGAATAACGTCCCCCACCCCAGCCTCCTGAAGATGTCCACGTCCTGATGCCCAGAATCTGTGAACATGCCGCCTGACGTGCAAAGGAGAATTAAGGCTGCTAATCAGCTGACCTCAAGAGGTTACCCTGGATGGCCCAGCGCCATCACAAGGGTTCTTAGAAGTGGAAGAGGGAGGCAGAAGCGAGTGTCGGAGGGATGCGATATGAGAAGGACTCGGCCAGCCGCTGCTGGCTTTGAAGATGGAAGAGGGTCATGAGCCAAGGAATGTGGGCTGCCCTGGAAGCTGCGAAAGGCGAGAAAACAGATTCCCCTGGAGCCTCCAGAGATGAACACAGCCCTGCCAACGCCCGGCTTTAGCCCAGGGAGACCCCTTTTGGACTTCTGACCTCCAGAACTGTAAGACGATAAATTTGTGTTGTTTTAAGCCACTAAGTTTGTGGTAATTTTTTGCAATAGCAACAGGAAACTAATACAGCATCATCCAGATGAGTTACAGTGGTACGTGCAATGACAGAGGCATGCAGGGCATAGGAGCCCCGGGCAGGGACCGGATGGGGGATGGCGGAAGGAGAGGCGGGAGGGAGGCAGAGGGCAGAAGTGCCACGGGGGGTGTGAGCTCAGGGGGGCACTCACACGTGCACACACACAGTCCTGACAGAGACGTCAGACAAGGGCAGACACCTGCACATGTACCCTAGCAACACAGGCACGTCCATGCAGACACTATCAGATACAGGCGCCCCATTGCCTGGATTCCTCCTCTTTTGGGTGCCCTCTCTATCAGTATCCACATTTCCTGGAGCCACTGAGTTTAGCAGGTGGGGCTGGGGGTCCCTGCCGTGGCCCCATCACTTGATCCTCACCAGGGGGAGGCAGCTGGAACTCAGCTCTCTGCCCGGGACCTCAGTATGTGAGGTGCCAGGACGAGCCCTGACCATGGGCACGTTCCCCCGAAACCGCCAACAGTAGGATAGAACCGACTATGGTCTGGAAGGGCTGGTCACCCCAAACTACAGTGTGTCCCTCTTTCCATGCAGCTGTCTGTCCATCATTCATTCATTCAGCATACAGTTATTGATGCTTGCTGTGTGCTGATGCCCGTTCTGGCTGCTTTGGACCCCAAGTAAAATAAGTCATTATCCATACCTGCAAGGTGTAATCAGAACTGTGACAAGGCGAGGACAGCTGGCAGCCTGCAAGAAGGTGGGAGGAGATCCTAGTCAGAGAAGACTTCCCTGAGTTAAAGACATGTACACTGAGTCTTAGGACAAGAAGGAGCTAGCTGGGCAAAGGTGGAGTGGAGGAGGCCAAGGTTGTGACACAAGTTTAGAAAGATGTCCCTGGGAAAGAATGCACGGGGGCTGGAAGCAGGGAGGGCGGCCAGGGGCTGTTGTGGTTGTTCAGACAAGAAGGCAATGGGGCTGGATAGACGCAGAAGCTTCAGAGACATGCCCGAGGTGGTCTCTGTAGGACTGGGGCCTAACTGGTGGGGTGGAAGGGAGGGGGGCAAGAGGGGGGGCAGTCAGGACTGTGGGCTTGATGCCTGGGACACCTGAAAATGGCCACAGCCTCAGAGTCCAGTGCTGGGGGTGGGGGAAGGTTGGCCAGCAGATCAGAGGCCCCTGCCCTGAGTCCATAAGCAGGCGCATGCTTCCCCGGGCGCGGGTGGGGAAAGGGCGTGGGCAGCACTTCCAGGCTCTGGGAGGGGTTGTCCCACAGCGTCACACAGGAGACCCCCTGCCCAAGTCACAGACCCACCGAACAACTTGATGGAGAGAAAGAAATCAAGTCCCTCCCCGCTTTGCAGCTGAGGAGTCCATGATTTGCAGAGGTTAAATGACCCGTCTGAGGTCACACAGTAGTGTCTGATGGAGCCTGGTTTGAACCCAGGTTTGTGGGACTGCGTCCTGGGCTCGCCCTCTCCAGGCATCATACTTCAACCAGGACAGTCTTGGCACCAGAGAATGGAGAGTACAGGGTACCCCTGACCTCTGCCTCCCATTCAGCCCGGCCGGGGCACTTGGAGGGCCATTCCAGGCCAGGAGCACACCTCCATGGCGTCATCCTCTTGGGGCCTGGACCAGGACATAAAGTTCTCTCTGTAGGTGGAATGAGCTGGGACCTTCCAGGGAGAGGACGAGGCCCACAGCTGACTCAGCGCTCTCGCACTCTCCACATAAGCTACGCACACCCGAGCTAGACCACCTGAGAAGCATGGACCCGGTCTGGAAGCGAGGGTTCCTGCCTCCCTTCCAAGAGGAGTGCAGGTCTAGCCAGGCTTGTCCCCCACTGTCACACAGCTCAACAAAGCTAGACCTTCCAGGAAACATAGGCCGGCCAGAACAGAGAGCTCAGGGCTGAGAACGAGGACACTTGAGTGACCCCGGTGAGATCTGGTCCTGTCTGAGCCTCTGTTTCCTCATCTGTGAAATGTGAGGTTGAGCTCATTTATCCCAAAGCTCCAGCAGCTTTGGTGGTTTTTTTCCGTCTGCTCCTCAGTCCCTGGACCCATCCCAGCCTAAGGACTGGACAACAGATGCCTGGTCCCTGCAGAGAGCCCCCAGCTCTGGCCTCAACAGATCCACCTCCTCGCTCCCCGCAAGTCCCCCGAGGTTCAGTGCAGCCCCAGCCAGAGGAATGTGAGCCATTCCCGGCATCTCCTCCCCTGTGGCCAACCCGGAGAGGGCCTGGGGCCTCCGGGCCATTCTGACAGGAAATTAACTGGGCCTGGCCTTCCCCACCACCAGCTGCTCTGCTGACCCTGACCCCGTGTTTTCTGAAACCTGATACTGCAAATTTCAGAGCCTCTTCTCCGTTCCGTTCCGAGGAGGCCTGGCTGAGCTCTAACGGTCCTCCAGCCTACATGGAAACAGGGCCGCCTGGGCGCCGGCCCCACTGTGACCCGAGGCAGGCCCCACCCTCTCCAGGAGAGTAGTCTCCCCATCTCTGAGCCGCGGGGCAGAACCCACGTGCGGAGTGGCTGCCACATGGAAAATGGGTTGGAAAAACACAAGAGGGGATGTGGGGAGACCACTTAAGAGGCCATTGTGGTCCAGGGAAAAATGACCGTGGTTTGGGTCAGGATGGGACAGTGATGATGCGAAGAACTGTACTGAGTTCAAAGCTGTTGAGGAAGTGAGATGACAGAAACTGCTGCTAGTCTGGCCATGGAGGCCGAGGGGGAGAGGTGTGCAGGCCCCCGGGTCTCCAAGTTGCACAGCTGGACGGCCGGCGGGGCCCCTCACTGAGACGTGAGCACCGAGGCTGACCAGCGCTGCGGTGGGGAGGGGAGAGGATTGTAAGCGTGGCCGTGGACATGTAGAGGCTGCTGTGCCTTTCAGGCGTCCTAGTGCACATTTGGAGGCACAGAGAGGGCCGAGCTGGGGATGCACATTTGGGGGGCAGAAAATAGAGCCGGTCATCCAACCTGACACAGGGATCAAGTTGCCCGAGGTGAGAGTTGTGAGTCACAGGAGGAGAGAGCTGACCTGAGCCTCACGGTCACCACTGCTGACTGGCCGGTAGAGGATGGACCTGGTGGGAGCGGATGGAGGAGCAGCCAGAGATGTAGAAAGCCCCAGAAGAATGCTGTGTCATGCAAGAAGTGGAGAAGAGTGTTTCAAGAAGCCAGGAGTGTTCGTAAGCGCCGGCAGCTGCCAGAAAGCTAGGAAGAGGACAGGGGGACTCAGGATGTAGTGTCCTGAGGGTCACTGGGGACTCTGCAGCCCGTTTGAGTGGAGTGAGCGGCCCAGAGGCCAGAGTGTGGTGGGTGGAGAGGACCAGAGAGGTGAGGAGACAGACGGCGTGTGCAAGCAGCTCTCCGGAGGAAGGTCACCGTGCCCCGGCGAGGGGCCATGCAGCAGCTGCAGGGGCGTGGAGGCAAAGGGGCTTTCTGTTCTTTCGTTTTTAAGGCGAGAGGGTCTGAGCATGTTGACGGGGGCCCCAGGAGGAGCCTGTGGAGACAAGAGGCTAACAATACCTAAGAAAGCAGCGGTGACAAACAGAAAGACGGTTTCAAGCCTACGGGGGGACTTGCCAGGGCTGCTCCCATGTCAGGGGCTGAGCCAGAGGGCACGTGTGACCCACGACCTCCCCTCCAGTGGTGTTTCCACTGCCCATTGCCACACAGCTCTCTCCAGAGGCACAGGGAGCAGCCCCGAGAGTCACCCCGGCCTGTTCTGGCCTGAGGGGGAAAACTTCTCTGGGATGCTGAGGTTAAGGAGGGTGAGAGCGGCTTCCAGCAGTTTCTGAGGTGCAGCGGGCACGAGGGGGCACAGAGGGAACCTGTCCATGCATTAACCTTAAATTCGCACATCCATCAATCTAGTCATCATCTAACCGTCCACTTCTCCATCCAGTTGAACCATCCAACTAGCTGCCAACCATCCATTTTAACATTCCGTCCAGCCACCCGTGCCCTTCTCTCTGATCCAGTCTGACCCGATGGCTCATTAGCCTAAATATTCCTTTATTCATATGACATATATACCTAGTGATCTAATTACTATTCTCACAACTCATTTATACTAGAAAGGAGTACTTGGAGCTCTAGGACCCATCGCACCCACCTCCTCTTTCTGAGGAAAATGGACACAAACATTGTTTTGTGCATAAAGCGTGAGGGTTGTATCACACGTATCAAGGGAAATCAGTTCTACTTCTGGACAATTCTGATTAGACCACAGGCTGGTTCTTGGGATTCGTCAGCTGAGGCAACTATGTGTCTGTGTGTATAGCTGTGTGTGTATTATAGATAGATAGATATAGAAGCTTATGTGATAAATGTGTGTATACACACACACACGCACGCGCACACACACACGCATGTAACTTAGAACTTGAGTACTGGCCATGAAACCCTGCCCAGAAATGCCTCTGCATCAGATGTGGCAGACTTAGCCACTCAAGCATTCTCCTCCTGGAGAGTGTGAAGGGGAGGTGTTCCTGAGAAGGCAGGTCCGTTCCAGCCCCAGAGTCCAGCCCGAACTTACCAGCTGTTGCTCCATGAAGTTTCCCACTGACTGAAGTTCTCCCTTCAGCCTGCTGTCCGCCTCCGCCCTGAGGGAGTGGGGATCCAGAGGGAGGGCAGAGCTCAGGAGATGCCGGGACAGCTGCAGCCTGCACTGAGCCCTCGTCCCCTGCGATGAATGCAGAAGGTGGAGCGGGATGGCCATGCTGGAGCACGTGTCCCCCTCGTCCACAGCTGACGTGCGCGGGGCCACCTCTCTCAGGCAGAGCCTCGCAAAGCTGGTCGTGAGTGAAAACCGGGACTCTGCTGCCTCCGTGGAAGCCTTCGCTCAGCCCCGCCTCACTTGAATAGCAGCTTTGACCACATTCATCCCTCTGGCTCCGGGCGTTTCTTCACCCCGTGGTCTCCTGGTTTTTCTCCGTCTCCCCGGCCACTCCGTCTCAGTCTCCCCTGGTGGCTATTCTTCTCCCAAACCTGCGACACTGGAGCAGGCCCAGGGGTCACTCCCGGAACCTCTCCTCTCCCACTACCCTCTCCGTAATGATCATGGCTTTAAATGCCATCCAGCAGGCGGCAAGTCCCACACTGGAACTCAGCTTAAACCTCTTTCCTGAACCCCAGACTCAAGTACCCAACTGCCTCTTAAACTCACCCCTTGAGCATCAGTGGGCACCGCCGTGTGAACACGAGTGAAGTGAAATTCCTCTCCCCTTGCCCCCTCCGGCCAAAAAGGGAGCTTGCTTTTCTTCTTCAGAGGCCGGAACTCCGTCTTTACAGTTGCCCTGGCCCAAGTCTTACTTGTCCTTGACACGATGTTCCTTTTTCTCACACCCATAGCCCATCCATCAGCAAATCCTGATAAGTCTACCTTCAAAATACATCCTAAACTGGGCCGCTTGTCACCACCTTCGCCACAGCCACCCCGGTCTATCTCCCACCTGATTTCTGCGGGAGCCTCCCAGCTTGTCTCCCAGCTTCCACCGTGGCCCCTTCAGTCTGTTCTCAACACAGCAGCCAGAGGGGCCTTCAGCAAATATAAGATCGTGTCACTTCCCTATTGAACATCCCCCAGGGTCTTCCTCCCTTTCTTAGAGTAAAAGTCTAAGTCCTTACAATGGCCTGTAAAACTCTGTGATCTGTCCCTTTGCTGCCCTTCTGACCTCATCTCCTACTCCAGGCCCTTGGTCACTCTGCACCAGCTACGCTGGCCTCACTCATGTTCCTCGAGCACGCCGAGGGGTCCCATCTCAGGGCCACCGCACTTACCAGGCCCTCTTCCTAGAACATTCTTCCCCAAATATCTTCAGGGTTCATCCTTAGCTTTCTTCACGTCTCTACTCAAATGTGACCTGATCAGAGACGTTCTCCCCGAGCATCCTTCTCTAACAGCACCCCAGCCCTCTCCACGCTCTGCTCTATCGTTTCCACAGCACGTGTCACCGCCTCCCACACAGCCGCTTAGTGTCTTTCTCTCCCCAGAGAAAGCACCCTTCGTGAAGGCAGGAATGTTTTCTTCGCAGTCTGTTTTCCAGCACGTAGAAGCGCTGTCAAGGTACAGACAGACACAGAAAGTTTGATAGAAACTTGTGGAAGGAAGGAGCAAGAGTGGCTGAGAGGATGGCTGCTGAGCCTTGAGGAGAACCAAGCCAGGCGAGAGAGGAATGAGACCACACCCCAGAGCAGGCATGACGGACTGAGGTCCTCAAGACGTGAAGAGAAGGGCCACCATTGCTGACTGGCCAGTTCCGATCTTCCTGGGGCATGAGTCGGTGAGGCCTGCAAGGTTGCCCATTGTAGCCTCACAATCGTCCCCACCCCTTTCCCGATGACATGTGGGGTTTCGTTTCTTGCAACCAAAATAGCCTTGACTTGAACACTATCCTTCCACCCACCCACCCATCCACGTCTCCACCCCTACATCCAGCCCCAATCATCTAGACATCTAGTCATCCAGTCATCCGTCTACAAAGCAGACAGTCCACTGGTCCCTTCATCCCTATGAGTATCCATCAGCCGGGAGTCCGCCCATCCACCCATCAGCGGATAACCAAGCAACCACCCCTCCCTACATCAGCCTTTCAAAACATGCATGGTAGAGCGGGGACGCATTAGGGAGGATCTTGAGCACCAGGCTAAGGCAACCCAACTTTACTGCCACACAGTGGGGAGCTCTGGGAGGATTTTGAGCAGAAAAGATACATAGTCCTGTGGGGTAATATCGCAATATTGCAGATGATGAAGTAGGGCCGAAGCATAGTGGCTAGAGAGAGGGAGCTTCAAGGAGCAGACGGGAGCAGCCCAGGAGCAGGCGCCCCCAGAGGAGGGACCGTCTAACAGGGCCTTGGTCTGGCCACCACCAGGTAGACCCAGCACTGCGCCTGCCCCAGCTCTCAGGTGGGGCCGTGCCTCCTGCACACTCGGTCAGGCAAGTCCAGGACAGGGAGCTCCCAGGAGCCTCCACCCAGAGCCAGTCCTTTCTGCACCCATCTGCAGAGCCCCCTGTCCTACAGCTCAAGCCCCTGACCAGTGACATTTCCAGAGTACAACTCCCGTCTCACAGCCCAGCCCTGGCTGTGGGATGCTGGGGGCCTCTTCTCTGTTAATTTTCTCCAACTCCTCAGAGGCTGGGCCTCAGGCCCAGTGAAGTCACGGTCTGGGAGGCAGCCCTGGCTCCCCGCCCACCCACGGAGGCTATATTTGGAGCAAGACAACTCCCTGCAGACACAGACTTGGGGACCCACCCTGCAGTGCTGCCCCAACCCATGTTACCGAGTGTCCGAGCCGTGTGGGCGTTGCTCACATTGTCACTTGTTTTATCATTCATTCATTCGTTCACTCATCGATTCATTGTGCAAACACTTGTGATCCCCTAGTAGGATGTCACAGGCACAACAGGATGTATGGCAGGCATGTGCATGCACATGTGTATAGCTGGGTATCTGTGTCTCGATAGGGATGGCAGAGCACACTCTCGGTGCCCTCCCTCAGGGTTCCACGTGGCTGGTGACTCAGTCAGGTATACATGGCATCTGTGGTATCTGAGTGCATGTGGGTGCAGGTACATGCTCCCTGAGGAGGCAGCAGTGACTCAGCCATGCCTGGCGTCTCTAAGTGCCTGTGTGGATGTGTCTGTGTGTGCAGGCACGAGCAGAGGCTCTTGCCCCAGGGGGTGGGGGAAGTGGTTGTGACTGACTCAGCCGCATATGGTGACTGGGTGCCCACAGGCCAGCTGTGACTTTACGACCTTGCTCACTTGCCAAGCCAAACAGCCAGTGCTGGGTGCAAGTATTCCATCACAGAGCGTGCAGGGAAGAAGTGAGCCAAAGGCCTTTGGGAAGCAGGAGAGACGTAGCAGTCTGGGCCCAGCTGCATTTGCCCCGGGGGTCCCTGCCGCCTCCATCTCCACCAATCTGGCCTGGCCTCGAGGCCCCGCCCCACACAGCCCCCTCCATCACACTCACTGGCCAGTCCCAGGGTCCACACATCAGGAAACAGGCCCGGAGGGGCAGAGCTGCCAGCCCACTCCCCTAAAACCCCTCTGCTTCAGCCATGACCGCACCTTTCTCCCACATCCATGCCGGTTCCTGGCCTTCGCGAGGGCAATCCTGGCACCATGTCTGATCTCTGGGGCCCCGGACGCCCTGCCCGCCGGGTCCCTGCCCATGTGCTGCCGCTGTGCTCCTCGCCGTGTCTGTCCCGGGCGCCCCTTATCCCTCCGGGCCTGTCTCCTCTCTTCTCGGCAGCTGTCTGCGCCGAGGCCTCCCAAGAACAGAGGTGCTGACAAGGGGGTGGGAGGACACTCGTGTCCTTTCTTGAGCCTTATCGGAAAAACCGAAGTTCCTGCTCAGGGCTCGGGCTGGAATTTCGCCCTGGATGACCTTGCTGTGTTTGCTGGGGCCTCGCAGGGGCAGCTGGGGTCGAACCAGTTAGGAAACAGGCCGGCCCGTTGGCTGCGCCTCCTCCCCTCACCCCACTGTCCTCGCCACCAGCGGCTCCGCCAAGGCGCCCGCAGGGGCCGGGAGGGGAGGGCTGCCCCCTTGCCGGGCACTCAGGGAAACAGGCCGGCTGTGCGGGCCAGGGGAGGGTGGATCAGGCGACATGCCCCCAGGTGCCAGCAGGGCCCTCCTTAGGCCCCAAGGGGAAATCCTCAAGGGCGGAGGCAGAGCGGGGGGTGGGGGTGGGGGGGCCTTCTCCCCAGCTGCTCCAGGCAGGCCGGCCCTGGCAGCCCGGGGCACATGCCGGGACGCCGGGAGACGCCCTGGAGTCAGGACACCTGGGGTTTGTCCCGGATCTGTCATTGCCTGTGTCCCCTCGGGCAATGACCTAACCCTCTGAGCCTCACTTTCCTCATCTGTAAAATAGGAAAACAGCGCCAACTTTCTGCGTCGTTGGCGGAAAGACGGGATCGCGGCCGGCTGGCTCGGGGCCTCCGGGTCCCCGCCGCCACCTTCCGAGGAGCGAGGGGGCCGCGCGCGCGGGCAGCCCGCCCCGACCGGGCCTGGGCCCGGGACCCGCGGCGTTCGCCTGCCCCCTGGCGGCCCGGACGCGGGGTCGCTTCCCCCAGAGGCGCGAGCAGCGCAGGCTCGGGGCCTGGGCCGCCCGGGACCTGCCGCCGGCTCTGGGTGATGGGACCGGCCCCTGGGGCGGCGCGTGCCCCCTCTCCCAAACCCGCCCGCGGTGGGGGCCGCGCGGGCCGCGCACGGAAGCCCGGGAGCCGGGGTCGCAGCGAAGCGCCTTGTTCCCCTTGCCTTCCTGCTGCTTCTCCATTTTCCAAGCTGGGTGTGTATTATTTTGTGCTAAGAAACGAACTACAAACGCTATTTTTGAATCACAAGCAGTGGGAGCTCAGTGGCCCGATCGGCCTGTCCCTGGAGGGAATTCTGGAAGTTCTCGGCCTCCTAGCATCTCTACTTGCAGAAAGTCTTTCCTTCGGTCCGAGAAATGGAGCCTAGGACTTAGGGCTTTCGGTTGATAGTCCGTCCTTCGCATGTGCTGGGACTTTCTTTAAGAAAGGAAGGAAAGGTGTCCCTGGCCTCAGGATAGTGTGAGGTCAATGCCCCAAACGGGCGGGACTCTGGAGTTTCCCTATTGCCTCCTTCGCTCTGATCCAGCCCAGCGAGGACTGTATCCAGGATACACTGGAGGACAAGGACTTACTTCAGAAAGGGGCCATTAAAAAGCCAGCACTTACCAAGCAGCTACTAGGTGCCCCCAGCTGGCAATACAGCCAGGAGGAGGCGTCCTGGCCTTAAGGAGCCCTGGGTCTGCCTGTGGGAAAATCCCTCAGAGCTGAAGCCCAGTGGGAAGGCTCACCCCCCCAGTGTTGGGAGGGAATCAGCAGGAGCATCAGAAGGGGCAGCGGGAGCCGCAGCTGCCCGGTGAGGCCCTGGGAGGTAGCGTGAAAGGCCCTGGCCACCAAGTAGAAAAGCCGAATGCCATCAAGGAGGCCCCAGGATCCCTGAGGGGAAGGCAGAGGCTGGGGGTGCTCGGGGCTCTGCTGGGAGGCGGCAGTCACAGGCTCTGGAGCCCCACTTCACAGGCTGGCTGGGCCTGCAAAGGGCTGGTGTGATGGGAAGATGGAGCCCCCGCCCAGGACGGCTTTGCTTACTCAGCCATTCAAACATTTGCGGGGCACCTGCCATTGCAGGACACCGCGGAAGTGACACCCGCCTGTGGAAGTGCAAGGAAAGCACCCCAGGTGTTTCTCAAACTTGCTGGCAGCCTTGCATGACCATCTGCCGGATTTTCTCAGAACTTGCCAGTCCACCAGCAAAATCCCCATTACGTGGCCCGGCCGGGCAAAGATGGAAAGCCCCTCACCACATGACTTTCCAAAGAAAGTGCAACCAAGACGAAACATTGAGGGGGAAGTGTGTCTCTGCAATGTGGAGACACCTGAGCAGGTCCGGCATTCCCACACCACGGAGTGACAGGTGGACATAGTGGGCCTCCCAATGTGACGCCTCAGAAGGACACACTACCTGTGCAGTCGTCTCTCTGAGAAGGCAGAGGCCGAATCTGACTCCCCGAGGTGGCCCAGTGACGGAGAGCATGAGTGGAACCCAGCTCTGTGTTGCTCTGAAGTCCAGGCTCCTTTCCAACTCAGTACTTTTGAAGGCCAAACACTGACCACTTAGAAGCCCAGGTAGCCACTCCCGAAAGAGGCCATTCTCTGTGCCCTTCACCATCTTACAGCTAACTGTGCCGCGAGGAGCACAGGGCCTCCGGCCTCGGGGAGATCTTCCACCTCTAGGCCTGTCTTGGACGGCCTGTGTTCCTTGTAAACGAGTATTTCAGATGCACGTGCTCTCCAACTGGGAGCAGAGAGCGCTGGACAGTGATGCTGCTCGTGCTCCTCGAGCGGGAGGAGGTCGGCTGGGCCTGGGCTTCCGATGGGAGCGGAAGGACAGATGAGCGTGGAGGTGGCAGCAGTCCTGGCATCCCCAAAGCCAGCCTGTGGGTGGACAGCGCATCTTCCCAGGGGAGCTGACCTGTCAGGAGGGGCAGAGACCCCGAGAGAGCAGAGGAGGGGAGACGTAGACAGTGGGGCCTGGGGAGGCCCGCTCTCGGAGACCCAGTGTGGGCTGCCTGGTCAAAGCAGAGAGTGGTGGCTGAAGGAAGAGGCAGCGTGACAGGGGACAGGAAACGAGAGATTCAGCTGGCGAGGAGGGGCAGGCTGCTGGGCTCGGGGGCTGAACAGAATGGGGGTTGCTAGACAAAGCTTCCCTCTGCCCACTCCTCACATCCCGCTGGCCCTCAGCTGGGCCCTGTGGACTGCTGGTGAGGAGGTGGTCACACGGGGGGAAGGCGTGCATTCCTGTGGGTGCACAACCCTCAGAGTCAGTGTGCTGCATCTGTGTGGTGGGGACGGAAAAAGGACTCTGAATCTAGCCCTGCTTGGCATTTAGTGTCCACCACAGATTTACCCACTACCCAGGGCCAAAGACCCAGCAACCTCAGAAAGGTCCATGGGAACTGAACATCAGACGAAGGGGTCAGGGCCCTCCCCTCATGGAGGGGTGAAGCGTGGACACGCCGCTGGCTGGTGATGCGGAATAGAAACCCACTGGATAATGTTTGCCATCAAAATGTATTTAAAGGACCCAAAAGGAGGCAGGTGGTAGGATGAAGCGCATTCTAGAGGAGGGTCAGGAGTTCCAGTGTGGATTTGGCTCTTCCCCTTGCAGGTCCTTCTCTGCAAAGTGAGGGTGTTGGACCAGCTGACCCCTAGTGACTAGCCATTTCCAGCATTCCAGAGGTTCCACAGTTAACAAGCAGTAAACTGCACAAATCTTGCGTGTAAAGTTGATATCTTTTACTTATGTAACCACTGCCCATTTCCAGCATCCCCCAAGCTTCACTGGTGCCCTTTTCCAGTCAACAACCACCCCTCCCACAGCTAGGTAACCACAACGCTGACCAAAATCCACAGATGAGCTTTGCCTGTTCTGGAAATTAATATAAATGGAATCACACAGTATATTTTCTGTGTTTGGGCTCTTTGCTCACCATGTCTGTGAGATCCATCCGCATCGTTGCCTCTCTCAGTGACACGTTACTATAATTCAAGTGTAGCATCCTTTGTCTGAATATACCACAACTCACTGATCTGTTCTCCCAGGACAGGCGTTTGGGTGTTTCTGGTGGGGCGACCCTAAACGAAGCTGCCGTGACCTCCCTGTTGGTCTCCTGGTGTGGAAGCACTGGCCCACAGGGCAGGCGTTGACTTCAGCTTCAGTCGATACTGCGGAATAGCTTCCCAAAGCAGAGGGATGACTTTCACAGCTCTCAAAATGAATATATAAAGAAAGAAGGAAGTAGAGCGGAAGACAGAAGAAAGAAAGAAACAGATATTCCTTAAACTATTGCCAAGGCTGAGTCTTTCGATCAATTTTCAGCACCCCGTGAACGGGTCAAAGCCAGCCAGCGCCTCTTCCACACTTCCATGTGGCCGGGGTCAACCTGACCCTCCCCGCACGAGGGCAGCTGGGCCTTGCTGTCCCCACCCTGAAGGTGCAATGGAGGCCTTGACAAGTGTGGCAGCAGCAGTGCTCCACGAGGTCCCTGACAAGCAGGGCAGTAAATCTGAACACTCATTCCTCACCCACTGCCAAACGGCTCTGACGGACCCTCCCTGGGTTTAGCCACTCCTGGGAGGACATCAAGGTCACGGCAGCCCGCACACTTCACTCCTCAGCAACGTGCGTCACAGAAAGATTTTCAAACACAGCCAAAGCAATTCCCATTGGATCTATATTCAAAAGGCACTGAGAGAGTTTCTGGAGCACAACGGCCCACAGGGCGCACCCAAGCCCTGCCTTCTGCGCTCTGCCTGCTCACAGAGCACACAGCCTCTCTGCCTTCCAGATGCGCCCACGTCACACCAGAGGTCAACTGGTGGGCCTCCTCAGAGGACAGCCTGCCTCCACAGCCTGCTCCTTCTGGACAACAGAACTTGCCTCCCCCTGAGCAAGCTTTCCCAACCTCGGCACTGCTGACATCTTAGGCCCGATAATTCTTCCTAATTATCGGGGGGCTGTCCTGTGACCTGTAGGATGCTGGCAGCATCCCAGGCCTCTCCCCACTAGATGCCAGGAACACTCCCAGCCGTGAAAACCAAAAATGTCTCCAGACACTGCCAAATGTCCCATGGGGGGCAAAATCACCCCCGGTTAAGAATCACCGTAGCAGACAAAGAACCGTTTAAAAAAACACCCATCAGTGTAGTTCGCGCTCTAGACGGGAAAGATCAGCTTCCCACGCTACAATCCAGTCGGACTGAGTGGGCCTGCTTAGTCCACAATAGGCGTTTTAATCTTGGTGACCATGAAAAACCAAAACAAAAAACCACTCTGTTTACTCTGGTAAAACTGAAAGAAAAACCGAAAGGCATAAAAAGAAAATTCAGGAAAGCAGAGGTAAGAGGATCTGGAGGTAATAGCAACAATGAGGGAGCAATCATCTCTCTCAGTTCCCGTCTGTGAGCTGACACATCAGCCATGGTTTCCCACATTAGTGACTCAAACAGCAAACATGAAGCCATAGTTAACTTCGTGAAGCGCTGGTCTGGGGTCCAAACTCCAAACCAGTGTTCTCAGGAAGTGTCCTTAAACTCAAGTCCATCTCATTCCATGAAAACGTGCACACGTACCCACAACCTGACCCTACTGCTCTACCAAATCAGATAGCTGAAAATGCCTGCTTTTCTGGTATTTTTTATTTTCTAACTGAGTCCATTTTACTAAAAAAAAAAAAAAATACAAAACATTTTTAATACATCTTAGAAAATTAGCAAAAATTTAAGAAAGTTCAGCTTATTACATTTTACAATATTTAGGTAAGAATGTTTGAAAATTATAAATATCTTGTTCCCTCTCAGCATAGCACATCACAAAAATACACTTTTAAAACTTTTCTCATGTATAATTCCTATAAATGATCATATCCCTATTTATTAAGGAAAAGGCCTGATTATGACAAACATTCACACTCTGAAATCTTCTGTACAGTAACTACAAAAGGAAAACCACGGGGCCTGCCACACTTTGACAGCTGAAACCATTTTAAATATTAGAAGGAATTCAGTTAACGTCAAAATGTCATTCCAAACGGGGCTGACTGAGTTCATCTCTGGGCTGCCTTTGATTCACAAGGCTCTATCTTAGCCAAAGCATTGTTAAAGGGATTTCTGCCTCCCAGACAGCGCTGGGGCCAGGGTAGAAGTCAGTGCGAGCGTGAATTAAACAGAAGCCTCCTGCACACTGCCCACGCGGACTACAACAGCTCAGTCGAGGCCACGTCCCCACGCAGCCAGCGCCTTCTCCATCGGAGCAGCAGGGGTCAGAGGCCTCCTGCGTCAGTTGGCATGCGCTGGCACACCGACAGGCCAATCTAGTTTAGAAACATGTACTCGGAGAAGGAACCGTGCTGCCAAGGAAAGGACGGGCCCATGCACAGCGGTTCTGATGAGCGGGGATCCTGCGTGCACCCCCCAACTGTGCAGACCCCGGGCCGCTGCGCTGTGCGCTGCCTCCTTCCCACGAGAGTCTGAGAGAGCTAAAGGGAATTTTCAAAAGCTGAGTTTTCAAAGAAAGAGTAAAGAGCTTGACAATGTTGCCTTTTTTTCCTTTTCGGGTCAGCCCTCATTTGCAGAAGATCAGCAAGAAGGCCTCCTTAGGTACTGACGCGCTAGGAGGGCGGAAGGCAGAAGAGGAGAAGCAGCTGAGCCAGGTCCTTCCGTCTGGGGCAGAAAGAAAGCCTTCCCGCCACACTTGGGCCGACAGCACCGGCGCGGCCTCTGTGCCGGCGCCCGCTCACTCCGTGGTCTTCTTCCCCTTCCAGCTCTTCTCTCTCTCTTCTAGTTCGGCCTGGGTGAAAGCCGCGGGGCCCCAGTTAGTGATCAGGTGAGGTTTTTTGGAACCTAAGAGATAAACATACTTTAAATGGAGGAAGTATTATATTCTTCAACTAACATCATTTTTCTGCAGACAAAATAGTAACTTTTCTACTTAATTTCTTCTCTGAGGGACATCCATAAATGTCATACCAGCCAAAACAACTAGAAGATGTATACAGTGGAGATTCTCATCTATCAGAGGGCAAGTTATTCAAGAGAAATTTACCCTAAACAGCTTGGTTTCTGTATATTTGGGCTAGAGAAGTTTCTTAGTCCAACCGAAATACACAATTAAAACAGAAAAATAAATTGGACAAATATACGATTACTTTAAAGAGTGTGTTACCTGGTTCTATCAATCGAATTAATCCTTCATGCTGGGCCACTTTGTCCTTCCAGCTTTTGGTCTTATTAGTTGCCATCTCCAGCTTCTTTTTAACTCCCTGGAAGGAAAGAAGATCGTAGATTATGCGAACACACAAGTGTGAGAGTCAAAAAGCAATGGCTGGGCACTCACTACGTTTGCAGATTCTCTCATTAAACCCTCACTGCCACTCTGAGAAGCAGACTATTACTACTCCCATTTTACAGATGTGGAAACTAAGATTCAGAGCGCTTAAGTAACCTGCCCAAGGTCACACAGAGGACCTAATTCACCCTAAATGTAGACGAACATAAAATCCTCGTGTGTCAGTTACGGCTTACTGCCTCTTGGCTCCAAATCCACTCTTCCTTCCTATCCTGGGGTGACACTAGCTGACACCATGGTGACCAGCTGGCACCATTTCCGCTTTGGCAGTAGAGGCGCTGAAGGGACACGGGAGGAGGAAGGGGCTTTGCTTCCAGGCTCCACTGCGCTCCTCTCGGCGGCTCCTGTGGCACACGGGACACCCAGGGTGCTCACCCCAGGGAGTGTCAGTGGCTCCTCCCTGCGGGCAGCTTCCGCCAGTGCCCCAGGGGCCGCCTTCCCAGTGAGTTCCGCTGGCGCAGCACCTCCGTGAGCTCTTCTGCCGCCTGGTGGCCCAGGCCATGCCCTCTCGAAGAATCTGGATCAGAGCACCGGGCTTGAGGGGCAAGGAACAGGGGGACCCAATTCCAGATGCGTTCCTTCCCTGGGCGCCCTGCCTCGGTCCCACCGCCAGAGGCTGCTTCCCGCACCTGCTGCTCCCACGTTCTCAGGGTTTTCCGACCGCTCCGTAGGTGATCCTGCTCCAGTTATTAACTGTTTAGATTAAAATTCCCCTGTTCCGATGACTGTGGTTTCCGTCTCCTGAGCGGACCCTGACAGACCCCTCACCGCCTGCAAAGACTTCTTTCTCCTTACCTAGTAAGCAGAACTCTCACCGCAGCTTCTTACACTGAGCAGATACTCTTATTGAAAAATGCTTGTTTTCAAAGTCTACACGCGCCGAGGAGCCGCCTGCTTACCTCGTACTGCTCGAGTGCCTGCTTGCGCTCGAGCTCAAGCCGCCGCAGCTGCTCCATGGCCTCCTGGAGGGCCTGCTCTTTCATCGCGCGCTGGTCCTCCAGCGCCTGCTTCTCTGCCTCGGTCGTCTGGATGGCCTGCTGCTGCTCCAGGTGCCACTTCTCCAGCTCAGCCCTCTTGGAAGACTCCTCCTCCAGCAACCTGCAACGCGCAGAGTCCGGATCACACGCGCCCGGTCACACCCCCGGCCCGGCAGGTGACAGGGCACTTGAGGGCAGGAGAGAACATGGAAGTCACCTCCTCCACCTCTCACTGCCCAAGGAGGGAACCGGCAGCCAGAAAGGCCAATATTCCCAAAGTCGGCAGGTGACCCAGGGTCCTGCTCTGAGCTCTGTTTCACTCTTTTTTGAAAAAAAAATGAACTGCATTTAAGGAGGGCTTAATGTGCCATGAACAGGGCCAAGAGCTAAGTGTATTTCCTCGATCCTCACAAGAGACTTAAGTTCTGTTATTACTCACATTTCAGAGATGAAGAAAGTGAGGCAGACGGTTAGTGCCCTGTCCTGGGTCACTCACCTGGCAGGTGGCAGGGCCAAGTGTGCCTGGTTGCTACAACAGTAAGACATTTTTCATCTAGTAAAAGCCTATCACCAAGGAAAAAGCTGATAATTAAACTAATGAAGGTGAGGGAAAAAGGCGCCAATGAAAGGCAGACAAATAACAGAGCGTTTACTGAGCAGTTACTACGCGCCAGCACCTTCCCTCCTCCACGGCCGGCCCCCACAGTCCTGCCAGGCGCCGTCACCCCTGCGTTCCAGTCGAAGCCACAGCACTCATGCTGCAGGCAGCCCTGGACTTCAACCCAGGTCTGTGTGACTCCAAAGTGTTACCTTTCAATAACAGGCTATCTATCCGGGGACATCCAGCTGCGCAGCTATATAAATAAATAAACTAACACACAGCCCCGTCCTGTACCCAAAGTGTAAACAGTGTCGTTAGACACCAGCCCAGGACACATTTCTAGGGGCTGGACCATCAGGACTATGCAATGAGCCACACAGCAGGCCAGTTATGTAACTACATAAACTACCTAAGAGGGTATGCTCTTCTAGAACCAACAACAAAGGAAGACTATACAGCCCTTATCCGACCACCCCCAACGCCCCACCCATATCACGGCGAGAAGACTCTCTCCAACACCCTGCGAGGTAGTTTTCCAACTCTGCTCAAATGCTCTGTGTGGTGGGCCACTCACCACCGCACAAATCGGGCCAGTTAATATATGGGCAGCCTCGATCCTTAGAAAGTTCTTCCTGAACTAAGACGAGCTCTTCCATCCACTCTCTCTAGTTCCACAAAGGACCAAACTGCTCTATCTTAGCTGTCTCCTGGAGTGTGCTGTCCACAACTGAACACAACACTGTAAATGTGGTCTGACCACCGCAGAGTTTATTCACTTACTCAATATGTATATATTATGCACCTTCTATGTGCTTTTCTAGGCACTGGAGAGAACAACAGTAAACAAGACTGGGAGGGCCGCTGTGTCTTCATCCTAGTGGTGGCAGTATGGAGGGGGGAATGGATATTTGCAGGTGTTTGGGCTGCCCAGCATCCAAAGCCCCTTCATGTGCCCAGGGAATCTGCCACAGTAGGCATCTTCATGGAAAGCAGGGCCCATCTCCCATTCTAGAAGCCAAAGGCTAGACATCTGCCCTCCTGCCCCTTGGCAGCCAGGCTACAGCGGAAGCCTGAGCTGGTCTTTTGCCAAGGAGATGCCCCTCCTGGAACTTTGAAACAACTGACACAAAGGAGTAGAGACAGTGGAGAACTTATCTTGCTAGTGACAGCAACGTCCAGCATCGAGTGACGGCAGGAGCAATGGTGACTACTGACCCACAGTGCCAATGCTGGCACCAGCGGCAGCCTCACTGGACTCATGCCGTGGCCTGGTCTCGGCTGTGGTTTGGGCTGCTCAGCCTCCCACGGTTGGTGCCTGTGTTCTAGGCATGCCGCCTGCTTTTCTGTGGAACTGGTGAACTACTCAAGAACTTTCTAAGAATTTCTTTCACTGCTTGAACCCAAGTTGACTTCTGTGGTTTCTAAACAAGACCCCTGACCAAAGAGTTTAACCTCGCTTTGCCTCAGTTTCCTCATTTATAAAAAAGGAAAAGGAGGGGCCGGCCCCGTGGCCAAGTGGTTGAGTTCGCACGCTGTGCTTCGGCGGCCCAGGGTTTCCCCGGTTTGGACCCTGGGCGCGGACATGGCACCACTCATCGGGCCATGCTGAGGCGGCATCCCACATGCCACAACTAGAAGGACCCACAACTAAAATATACAACTGTGTACTGGGGGGATCTGGGGAGAAGAAGAAGGGGCAAAAAAAAAAAAAGTGGCAACCGATGTTAGCTCAGGTGCCACGCTTTAAAAAAAAAGGCAACGGAACTACACCCCTCATCAAAGGTTTGCAATGCATTAAATGTGATAATGCAGGTAAGACACTTAGAACAATACCAACCATGAGAAAGTGCTGAATAAACAGCAGCTCTTATTATTAGCGAGGGACTATCACCTCATTTGCTCTGGACGCTTCACATTCATTCAGGCTGCCTGAGAGTATTTGACGTTTTTGGCAATCAAATCACAAGGAACTAAAACCCTGAAGCTTTTCAAATGAACCGCTATTAAGCCTCGTGGATCCTGTACTTGTTCTGTTGATATTTTAAACTCTCATCTTGGTCTAAAGTCATCATCCCAGCCAGTCAGTAACTTTTATGAAGGCTTATTTTGACAACCTACACATTATATATCTTCCTTACTTGCAAATGAGACAAAGGAACTGAAACTAACACACTCTGAGTGACTACCACACGCCAGACATCACAACAAGCACTCTGCATGCATTATCTCGTGTAATCTTCACAACAACCCGACAAGACTGGTGACTGAAGAAACTGAAGGCTCAGGGGAGTGAAATAACTTCTAAAATTCCACAGCTAGAAAACATCAGAGCTGGGGATCAAACACAGACCTCACTCCAGAGCTCAGTCCCTGACTGCCTTCAGATACCTGGAAAGTATTATCAGGTGGAAGAGACTGCTGTTCCACCGGCCCCAATGAGTAGAACTTGGACCCATTCATTCATTCAACAATTATCCCTCGGGCACTTACCACGTGCCAGGCACTGCACCAGTTGCTGAGAATACAGACATGACTAAGGGACGCTCCCAGGCCCTAAGATCCAAAAATCCAGTGGGTGGAAGCTATAAATGGGACAGATTATGGCTCAGCCTCAAGAATTTTCCAATAATTGAGTTGTCCAAATGTTAAATGAACAGTTTTCTTCTGAGTTCCCATTCAGAAGAGGCTAGACAACCTTCAGATTACACATCAAAAAAAACAAACTTCAATCTTAAAGAAAAAAAAATTGTAAGACCCAGATGGCTCACGGCAAAGTTCTTGTATTTAAACAATGGACTAGAACAAGTATCTCTGGGGAAACTTAAGACACTGACAGAGAAAGACCACCCATTGGAAGAACAATGAGATGCCAGAGTCCAAGCAGGACTTGCTGTAGCTTAAAGAAAGGAAGGGAGGGTAACTAACCAGCCCTTCGCACACCTGCGGCCTGAGACTGTGCCATCTCATTAGTGCCCGACTTCAATGTTTCTATCCCAATTCCACGGTGACTTTCCTTGATTTTCTACCCAAAAAGGGCTTCTCTGAGGAGCAGGAAGCAAGGAGAAAGTCCCTTTGCCAGTTGGACAAAAGGCCTCCCTCCCTCAGCCTTGTACGACTTCAGGAAAGAGATGGACTTGCCTCACTCAAAAATGACCACTAGAGGGGGCAAATTTGTCCATTTCAAGTTCCAAAAACTAAGTGAAAAGAAAAATAATTTAGAAGAGTGCAATAATTATACTTATAAAGTAGCCTTTGCACACCAAGGAAAAGTTCACTTTTTGCAGTAATTTCAGCTATTGGAGCAGAGCTGTACGTCGTGGTATGCAGCAGCAAAACCATTTTGCTATTTACTTAAATCGGAGTGTACAAAGTAATTTGCCAGAGCTTTTTAAAATTAATACTCATGCCTGGCTCCCACCCACAGATGTTCTGATTCAGTAAATGTGGGACAGGCCCTACATGTGTATTTTTTAAAGGCTTTGCAGGTGATTCTGATATTGACCACCGGTTAAAAACTACAAGTTGAATTACCAAAAATTGTCTCTTATTCAAAACATCACTCATTCTATAAACACAAAATAACTAACACTTTCATAAACTTCTAGAGTTACCTGGTTCCTTGTGTGCTCTAATCTCTGCCCTGTCATACCCAACCTCTCTCGAAACTATAGAGAAGTAATACGCCACAGCTCATCTGAATTCTCTGCACAAGGGCAACCTATAAACTCTGGACACGCTACAAATTATACAGAGGCTCAGAAAGCACCCAGTGTCCCTGAGAACGCCTCTCTTCGGAAGTCATGTGGGACTCCGACCTTCGCGTGCGGGGGATCTTGTGCTAACGTCACTGCCCAGTGGCAGCTGCATGGCAGCTCCAAGAATCCGCTTAACACCCGCAGCACAGCGAACACATACCGTGGGACCTAAAAATGCCAAGCAACGTGCTAAGCATTTAATTTTCTATTTAAAATATCATTTTTCCTTAATGGAATCAAAATTTTCAAAACCTAATTATTGATTTTTGAAGTCATTTTTAGCAAAGTACACAACAAAGACCTCATTCTTCCTCTCTTCCTACCCAAAGATTAAACGGCATCTTCCGCTGCTCCACACGTGGAACGGCAGCCGTGGAAAATCCACCCAGCTCATCTCACACCTGCTCCCAAAACCGGGGTCATGAAACCTGCGGCATGTCTACACTGCAGAGCCGCTGCAACTGGGGAAACATTCCCAGCGTGGCATCCCTGATGGCCGCTCAAAGAAAGCAGCGGGGCAGCAAGTTAGGAACGGACGCAGGGGAGCTCCGATGTTCTCTTTGGCGTCTTCATTCTACCGCATCCTCCCTGCTGCTACAAAGGCCAAAAATGGAGACTTCTCATGTGAGAACACGACCATCATCAACAGTAAACCCGACCTTAAAAGCTCTAAGGAAAAAAACCTAGGTTTCAAGAACTTCTAAAACTAAGATTTCAAGTAACGTAATGTAAGGAATATCACCAATCCTGAATGACCAAATGGAAACAGCTTATTTCCTCCTTATCCCCCAAAAGTGCTGTAACTCTGGCCTGAAGCACGCCTGTCTCCATACCAGGGGTCCTCTCTGGTCTGGAACATGTCAAACAAGCCAGGTTCCCAGCAGAGCTGATCCTGGGTCCACGGACATTCGAGAATACGACGAAGGGCACCCCGTCAAACACACCCAGCAGACTGCTCGACAGCAGATACAGCCCAGGAAGCCAGGGTCCCAGGGCCCTAGACTGAGGGCAAGAACGCGGCCAGCCAAGCCTCCAGGGTCCCTCTCATCTGGCAGAGACCCTCCTCCCTCTCCACTGGGTGTGAGGCATTCCTAGAAGCCGATTTAGCCCCGGCAAAGTACATAAAGGTACAGTGTACAAACTGATCTGCCACCTGGCCTGAAGTTTCCGCACGGTCTCTTCATCTTGCCGGGCCTGTCTCTCGTCCTCGAGGGCCTCCTGCAGCTTTAGGTACATGTCTTCCAGCTCCCGTACTCGCTGCAAATACTGTTCCAGTTCCGAGGACTTTTGGGCAACCTGTTCTTCCATCTGCTGTCTGATCTGATGGTAGAAAGGGGTCATGTGTAAACACAGGGAGACTTCGCGCTTGGGGAAGGCCTCCCACTCCGCCCCCATCCTGCAGGGTTGCCACAGCCCGCCACAGCCCACCGCTGCAGCCCGCCAGGGTGGCCAGGGCCCCGCCCTCCAGTCTGAACCAAGGACAGAGGGATCGAGAGCACCACACCCAATACCAACACCAAGACACGCCGACCGAGTCCAGGGCACAAACTACAACCCCAGGGCCGTTTTCCTGCCCTGGTATAATTTCCATCCCTTCTACTCCACATCTGAAGACTCCAGGCAAGAAAAAAAGAAATGATTCCCTGTATAATTTCTCTTTCAATTTTTGTCTATCTTAAAGACACAAGCTCTTTACCAACACAGTCTTCTCTAAAAGGAATGAACGTCTTACCAGTCAGAAGAGCCAAGGGTTAAAATAACGGGAAAAAGAAAGAGCAACGTGCAGCGCCTCCCCCTGCACTCGGGTGGCTGCCTGATCCCTCCCATCGCCCTCCCTGGGGCACCTCCAGCCCTGGAGTAACCGAGGAGCACAAACATATGGTTTCTCCCCTCTGGGTTAAAGACATATGGTTTCTCCCCTCTGGGTTAAAGAGTTTTGAACCTCTGCCCTAAAAACTAAAAGACAAGGACATCCTAAATGTAACAACACACATTAGCCTATGTGTCTGTGGTTTCTAAAATATTTTCACTCATATTAGCTCACTTCATCTCGTAAGGGTCATGAGAGATCATATGATAAACCCCGATTTGAAGAAGAGAAAACTCATGCTCAGTTAGAAGGCGCAGAGAGGGGCCAGCTCCATGGCACAGTGGTTAAGTTATGCGCTCTCCACTGTGGCAGCTTGGGTTCATGGGTTCAGATCCCAGGTGTAGACCCACACCACTCGTCATCCATGCTGTGGCAGTGACCCACATATAAAGTGGAGGAAGACTGGCACAGATGTCAGCTCAGGGCTAATCTTCCTCCACGAAACAAAACAAAAAAAACACAAAAGAGAAGAAAGGAAGCAAACCCAGACCCCTTGACCCGTGTTCCAATTAACCAGCCAACTGTCTAAAACCACCTAGCTCTTGAGTCTCTTGGGGATGGGAACCTCTCAGATGAGTCAGACCTGCTAAGAGCAGACGAGAACTCACATGTTCTCAAGATTTCAGAACCCCCACTTTGCTCATTACAGAGGAGAAATGTCATGAAACCTATGCTTAGTTTTTCCATAGCTATTTATTTTCCAAGCCAGGACTCTCTGAGAAGGAAAAGGGACGCTATAAATAATTACACCAGGATAGCAGGGACTGTCCCAGGCGAACCGGGATATACAGTCACCTTAACCACAGCCCTTAGCACCCCAGTCCATAAATTCCTGCTTCAGGGTCTTGAAAGCAAGGCTTATGTCTTTTACCTCTATATCTTTCACATGGTGCCCAGAACATAGAAGGTGCTCGATAAACCAATAACGGATGAATGCACGAACACATGACTTCCCCAATAACTCCCCTGTAGCTTTCCCATTGCAAGTCAGTGGCAGAGCCAAGCTGACAAGATGGCCTCACTCCAGCCTCCCAGGCCTTCGTCCCTCCCCTGACCCCGGCTGGTGCCGTGAGCGAACGCTGCAGCATTCCCCAGCCACATGGGACTCACAAGCTTCTCTCGCTCCAGCTCGGTGTTGAACCTGGCCTGTAATTCCACTTGAGTCTGAAGGCGTTTCTTTTCTTCTTCTGCTGCCCGAGATGCTGCTTCTTCCAGTTTCTACCCAATCGAAAAGCCATCCACAGAAAAGCAGGAAACGTTCCAGTGAAAGCGCATTTGGAGAGAGAAATGGTCACACTTAGACATATGGGAGAAGTCAAACATTCTTAATGTTCAGTAAAGACAGAATGAAAACTTTTAGATCCACTGGAATTCCATTCCAACGACCTTCCCAATCAACACACAAATTAGGTAAACGAATGACTACAGATAACTCTGAACAACGTTTTGCAGAGAAAATTTTAGAATAGTTATTGAGGTAAAATCGTTCATGAGGTTCAAGATCTATTTCTTGAGCTCTTCCTGTACAGTTTTGTCATCTCATACATTATTCCTTAAGATTTTTACCAGAGCTCAGCTTCCAGAAGGATGGCATAAGGAACTCCATGGACTCTTTCCCCAGTGAAAAAACAATTAAAAACAAAAATAAAACTAGGAGTTATCCCAAGGGCATGCAGCAAATGGAGAAAATTCATCCAAGAAAATCAACAATCTCAGTTCTAACAGCGGGAGTCCACTGCATCTGAGCCACAGCGTGGCCCCTTCTCTTCCCCCACAATGTCAGTGAGCAGGAAGCTCTGCTCCACGGCCATGGAACCAAGAACACAGACAGGGCTCTCTCTCTCCTCAGCTCACAGTTTAGGGTACAATATCTCCCCAGGAGGGGCAGGCCGCCAGTATTTCTCACCCTCATCCATGTTGCAGAAACCCTACTCTAGACAAGAGTGGCTAAGAGATCTGGGGCTCTCTTCCTCCACCAGCCCCCACTCACAGGGCACAAGTTCTACCTCAGGTGTGACAGGCTGAGAATACTGAGCATCATCAGCCTTGTCCCCACTCATCTGTAGGGCAGAGGTTCCGCACTGGGAGAAACACGCTGAGGAGACCAGAGGTTACCACCTCCACCGTGACAGGCTTGTCGAGATGGGATATCACTCCAAGAGAAGCAGCCCACTGTCTCCAATGCCAGCTCCAGAGCACTGGCACAGCTGTTTGCCCAGGAGAAAGGCAGGCTCTGAAGCTCTCCTCAAAAGAACTGACTTTATTTAGAACACAGTGTGAAAAAGTTCAAGCCTGCAGATGCTACTGAAAACAACGGAGATATTGGTGGTAAGGAATTAAGAGGAGGCTCGGGGCCGGCCCGGTGGCGCAGCAGTTAAGTTCGCACCTTCGGCTTCGGCGGTCCGGGGTTTGCCGGTTCGGATCCCAGGTGCGGACACGGCACCACTTGGCACGCCGTGCTGTGGTAGGCGTCCCACATACAAAGTAAAGGAAGATGGGCACGGATGTTAGCTCAGGGCCAGTCTTCCTCAGCAAAAAGAGGAGGATTGGCAGCAGTTAGCTCAGGGCTAATCTTCCTCAAAAAAAAAAAAAAACAAGAGGCGGCTCGTAGCTCCATAAGACCAACAAACTAAACCACAGACCAGCTAGAAGTCTGACAGAGACCCAGGGCAAGACAGCAAAGAAGAGCCCTCATGTCACAGGAACGAGTCTCAAAGATTCTACGCGGGTCTGAATGATAGTAATATCAGACCATCAGGCAATTTAGGCCCCATGGCACTGCTGAAAACAACAGAATAATCAGCTGGAAATCAGTGAGATCTAACAGCTGGATAATGACACCACTAGAAGCAGGCAGCTTAACAGAGAAATCAGGAAAGAGACACTCGAAGGAGCCCTGCTACCATCACGGTGATCCTGGCGACCCCAGTGACCGTGCACACGCCTACGGCTGTGCCTCTGAGCAGGACGGTCAGCGGCTTCCCACCCTGAGGAAAAAGGACCTCACTGACATAGTCCAGCCAAGTCACTGGACAAATAAACGAGCAAACAGCAGCCCTTGGGTGAGAAGAAGAATCCATACCCAGAGTGCTACCATATATTATCTAAAACGTCCAGTTTTCAACATAAAATTATAAGAAGAGAGGAAAGAGGAAAGTGTGACTCATACATAGGGAAAAAAGCGGGCAACAGAAACTGCCCTTGAAAAGGGGCCCGGCTGGTGGATTTAACACACACGTCAAAGAAGTTCTATGTTCAAAGAACTAAAGGAAATTACACTTAAGGGATAGTAGAAGGTATGGGGATCCCAGCAAAGAGAGAATATCAATAAAAATAAATTATAAATAGAACCAAATGGAAATTCTGGAGTTGAAAAGTCCAATAACTGAAATGAAAAATTCACTAGAGGTTCTCACCCATATATCTGGGCTGCAAGATGATCTATCAAAGATAAATTGATAGAAAGGCACTCTGAAGAAGAGAGAGAAAGGAATGAAGAAAAATGAACAGAGCCTCACGGAGATGTGGGACACCATCAAGTGCACCAACATTCACCTAATGAGAGTTCCAGAAGGAAAGAAAAGAGAGAGAGGAGTAGAAAATTATTTGAAGAAATAATGGCTGAAAACTTTCCCAATTTGACGGAAAACATTAATCTACACATCCAGGATGCTCAACAAACTCTAGGACAAAGACAGAGATCCACACCCACATGCATCCTCGTAAAACTGTGGAAAGACCAAAAAAAACATAGAAAGAAAACCTGCACACATTTGAAAAACTTACAACACTTTCAACTCCTCCTCTATACTTCTCAAAAGGCGAAACAGGAATAAGACAGTGAAGGCTGAGATTCAAAGTTCCTGGTATCAGATCTGCTGTGCTGCGTCTGCTGCTCACCTATGCCCTATGAAACCATCTCCCGATACACCCCCTTCCTGAGATGATCACAGCAGCTACCACTGACTGAACGCTTGCCATACGTAAACCCTTTACGTGCATTATCTAATTTTTATATGAAATCTGATTTGAAAGCAACAAGAGCAAAATGACTCATCAAACACCAACTCCAGTAAGACTGACGCTGACTTCTCATCAGAAACATGTGACTAGCTCTGGTCAAAGTATTGTAAATAGAAGTGAAGTGTGACATTTCTGGGCTGGCATACTTAAATGCCAAACCCTAGAACGCTTTTTCCTATGGTGCAGTGAATAGAAAAATTTGAAATGGTGGCTATTCCATCAGCTTAGATTTCATAGTTATAGATGTATATATACTCTCTGATCCCGCAATTCCACTTCTGAGAATTTATTCTACAGATACATTAGAACATGTATTAACACTGTCACAAAATAAGTCTCTGTAGCACTGTCAATTAAAACAACCCAAATGTTCATCAATAGGGACTGGTTAAGTAAGTAATGATACCGGCATATAATAGAATATTACATAGCCATTAAAAAGAATGAGGAAGCTCTCCTTATAGTGACACAGAAAGATCTCAAAAAATATATAGGGGACTGGCCGAGTGGTTAAGTTCGCTCCGCTTTGGTGGCCCAGGGTTTCACCAGTTGGGATCCTGGGTGCAGACACGGCACCGCTCATCAAGCCATGCTGAGGCAGCAGCCCACGTGCCACAACTACAAGGTTCCCATAACTAAAAATACACAACTATGTACCAGGGGGGCTTTGGGGAGAAAAAGGAAAAGTAAAATCTTAAAAAAAATATATATATATACACATATAAAGTGAAATAAACTAGATGCAGAACTGTTAAGGTTGGATACATACTTTTATGTTTAAAAAATGGGAAAATAATGTATATTCATATTTTCTTGTATATATATATTAAGTAAATCTAGAAGGATACACAAGAAATGAAAAATAATGGTTATCTTAGGCAAGCGGTGGGAACTAGGTAGAGGGAAGAAAGAAGTGGAAGAAAATCTTTTCACTGAATCCCTTTTATCTTTTAAATTTTTGAACCACACGATTGTAATAACTATTCAAATGACTCTATTTTTTAAAAGAAACACAAGTGGAAGTAAAAATTATTTGGGGGGGAAAGATGAACAGGTGGAGCACAGAGGGTTTTTAGGGCAGAGAAACTCCTCTGAATGATACTGTGATGGCAGAGACATGTAATTAGACATTTGTCCAAACCCCCAGAACGTACAACACCAAGACTTGGGGTGATTAGGATGTGTCAGTGTAGATTTCATCAACTCTAATAGATGCACCACTCTGGCGGGGGACGCTGATAATGGGTGAGGCTGCGCATGTGTTGGGGAAAGAGGCAAACAGGAAATCTCTGTACCGTCCTCTTAATAATTTCATTGTGAACATAAAACTGCTCTAAGAAAATAAAGTCATTTTTTTTAAACTTATCTGGGTAAACCCTTTAACGAAACCTATTAATTTACAAAAACTACCATGATTTCTTATTCCCTCTTCTGAATTACATAAGGCCTATCAAATTTTACAAAACCCACAAGTAAGTAACCTAATTCCAGGTGATTACAATATTCATTTAAGCAGTATTTTTCCACAAATGTTTCAGTGAAAAATTGGAGAATTTTACTTCTTGATAAGAAAAAGAAAATTCAAGATTATTAAGGGATCTGTAATAATTTTCCAACACTTATCCATCAAATCCCAAATCAGTAACTGAAATAATTCTATAAAACTCAGCAGTGGGAAAGCTGCCTACGTTGGTCTAGGCCCTGCCCACTCAGGCACACATTCACATAACACAGAGCAGGGCATCTACGTGCTCCTGCGATGCAGAGTTTAAAAGAGGGGACACCAGATGGATGAATCGCAAAGGCATGACACTAAGTGAAAGAACCCAGTCTTAAAAACACACACTGCACGAGTCCACTTACAGGACAATTTGGAAAAGGCAAAAATACAGGACCAGATCAGTGGTCTCCAGGGGTTGGGGTGAGGGGAGAGTCTGAGTACAAGGAGCAGTGTGAGGGAATTCTTTGGGGCATTGGAATTGTTCTGTATTCTGTATGGGGTGGTTACAAGGATCCAGGCACATGTAAAAACTCATAAAACTATATACATAAACCACAAATCTTACTGTCTGTAAATTTCTAAAAATTAAAAAGAAAGAAAAAGGATATAGGAGCTTTAAAATATGAGCAGTATCGTATCTTAACCTGGGTAGTAGTTTCAGGGGTGTTCACTTTATGATTATTTGTATACATATATTTCATACTCTCCTCTGTATGTACGACCTATTCCATAACTTTTAAAAATTACAAAAGAAGGACACAAAGCCCAGATGCCCATCCCACTCTCATAAAACTCACTTGTGCTATGTGCACAGTGGATGGAGGAACCAGCACTCACACACTGCAGGTGCTCTTCCTGGCCTATTAAGGGAGTTTTTAAAGAAAGTGTGTTACAGCCAAAAGAGGCAAGATGCAAGAGTGACTCGGGAGAAAGAGCAGCAAGACCTGAGAAGCTGCTTTTAGGACGTAGGTGTGCTGGATACAAACAATTGTTTCTAAGATTGTATGCCTACATGGTTCCTAAGATTATAAAAGCATCAAAATTTCTTTAATTGTGAATCTACTCAGAGGACGTCAGCACAGAGAGTGACATTTCCACAAGCTGCAAAGGGAGAACCCCACCAGGAATGTGGGGCCTTTACTATGAGCAACCCCCATATCCCAGGGCAAAGGTGCTACTACACAGGACACAAAAGGGTCTTTGAGCTTGTGGTTAACAGGTGTTCACTGACTGAAGGCAGAGAGGCTCAACCCAAGGGAGTCCCAAATCAAGACCATGCTCACACACTGAGGACTCACCACCACCCCCAGAACCATGACACAACTGAGGAACAAAGCTTCTCAGGGAACGTCGACTCTCCTGGACAGCCTATGGGACCTGACCTTCTAGCCATCGGATGGAAAGAGAAACTAGCTCAGACTGCATCTTTGACTCCAGATGGTAAGTAAACCCCACAATTCTACACTAAGGCTCTTCCATAGTACTCACGAGTGGAAATGGGAGGTAAGGGGGAAAAAGCAAAAAAGCAGCAGAACCTGCCCAGGTCACCACAAGTGACCTTGACCAGGGAAACAAAATTTCTTATCTTTCTCTAACAAAATTCAACTATGTTCATTGTTCTTACAAATATGCTTTTCTGGTCAATGAACTGTCCTTGCTGCCCTGAGACCCTCATACTTTCAGGGCTGGGAAAAGCAGGATGTCTCACTCAGCGGTCTAGATACACTCCTTGAGAACACAGTTCACCAAAAAATCTCCCTAAAATTACAGTAACCTGGTCTTGGTAAAACCAGAGCTCAGAAGTCAGCACTGTGGCCCCTGCGATGACATGGAGAGCCCTCCCCGGGCCAGCGCCCGCTCCCACCTTCCTCACGGCCTCCAGCTCCTGCTGCTTGTTTTCGTTGGCAGCCTGGAGCTCCTTCATCTGTCGCTCCAGCTCCTCCTGCTCAGCCAGCAGCTTCTTCCGGAGTTCTTTCCGACGCTGGCGGGCTTCTTTGTGTGGTGGGGGGCTGCCCAACTTCAACAGATGGATAGTAGAATGAATGGCTATAAAAGGTGCAGGAGAAAAAAATGGGAAATATCCTTGATTCTTTGTAAGCCTAATACACAAATGGCACAGTGCAGAGAAAACCAGACAGAGGCCCAGAGTCGCTTCTGATTTCGCCACTGAGTAGCAGTGTGAACGGGACCAAGTCACATCAGTTCTTGCAGCATCAGTTTCCTCACCTCTAAAATGAGAGCGATGATCTCTAAAATCCCTTCCAGCTCCAAAATTCCATAACTGCTTATCTATCTGCTTAAACAGATACTTGATTCAAGAATACTGCACACGTTTGAAAAACTTACAACGCTTTCAACTCCTCCTCTACACTTCTCAAAAGGCAAAATAGGAATAAGACACAGTGAAGGCTGAGATTCCAAGTTCCTGGTACCAGATCTGCTGTGCTGCGTCTGCCGCTCACCTATGCCATATGAGACCATCTCCCGATACGCCCGCTTCCTGAGATGATCACAGCAGCTACCATTGACTGAACGCCTCCCATACGTAAATGCTTCACGTGCATTATCTAATTTTTATATGAAATCTGATTTCGTTCCTGATTGTTTAAACTATATAAATTTAACTTTTTGAATAGCTAATACTTTCTTACTGCTCAAATCCAAAAGCATGAAAGGACACAGAGAAAGGCTTCCTCCTACTCCTATCCCCAAGTACTGGGTTCCCCTCTCCACCAGCAAATCATGCTAACGCTGGTGCATCTTTCCTGAGAAGTGTTAAGCATATATAACTAAACGTGTATACACATCCTCCATCTTCTTTTGACACAAATGGTGGCGTAACACACTCCTCCGAGCCTTGGTGTTTTCACTTAGCTTATCTTGGGAGCTTCCCCTATCAGTACATAAAGCTCTGTAACGTACTGCACAGTACTCCATCGCGTAGCTGCACCATAATTCATCCAACTATTTCCCAATTAACGGAGACTTAGGTTGTTTGCAATCTATCACAAACATTTCTGCAATGATGTGTCATTTTAAAAATAAGCAAGTGTATCTTCATTATCTAATTCCTAGCCCTTGCAACAACTCTCAGAAGCAGGTACTATTATCCTACCCATTCACAGAAGAGGAAACTGCTACCGAATTCGTAACTCAACCCAAGTGATTCAGGAAAGAGGATTCAAACCTTAGGGGTGCTTGCCTCAAACTCTTAAACCACACCAAAAATGACCACGGTTTTCAATAGAATATAATTTTACCCATGTCCAAAAATACCACATTCAAAATCCCCTTTCATGACTAAAGAAAAAAAATCTCATATAGTGTTTCATTATTTACTAATTTTAGAATAATACTTTAGCTTAAAAGTTATTAAATCAAAAGTTTGTGTTCTTGAGATAATATGTGGAAATAACAGATCTTGACAATTATTCAAATTATTCAAAAGGTATTGCATTCTTCCTCTTCTGTTTTATATGTTACTAAAAACTTAAGATGGCCACTTCATCATCCCTACAAGGGGAAATTCCACACGCTTTAAATAATAAGTGTGAAATAAAGCCTAAAATGTCCAGTTTATAATTTTCCCACAAGCTCATTATGCAAAAGAAATTGATGAAAAATTTGGGAATTCTTCTTAATTTTTCTTTCAGCTACTACGTTACATGCAGAAATAACTACACAATGAAGAAACGCCTTAGTATCTTTAATGAGATACAAAAATAAAGAGTCAGAGCTCTCAACCTGTACCATGACAAATAATAAAAATTACCCTACCCTGAATCCACTCCTGTTTCTTCTTCTTATCTGAAGCACTGATTTCAAAGGTCTTATCAAAACATTTTACGAGAAAAAGGCATTTCTTTCCATCTTTGTCAGGCAGGGACTAAAACAGAAAGCAAAATTAGTTCTTTAAAATTGTATTTTTCAGTATTTAAATTAAATTCAATCAATTATTTATACAAATCTGGCTGAAACTCAACATCAATGAAAAGTATTTATAAATGCATACTGCTGTTTTATTCCTACATTAGTTATGGTAACAACGAGCCCCGAGCAGCACACTCCATCTGGACTGGGAGAACCATCAACGCCTGATGGGGATGCCATGCTTTGGCCTTTCCTGAGCACAGTGACTCTGGCACCAGAGCACATCCCTCACAGGAACGCTGCAAGGTACATCCGTGGAACTGGTACGAGAGGTACTGACTCCTACCGGCTATGAGGCTTCTAAGCCAGGGTGATTCCCACACCTGCCTGATGCAGCTCTCCAATCCTTGCACCTGCAGTGTTGTTGTTGGAAAGCTGTGGTTCCCATCTTACATCCTTTTAAGTAGACTGGTATGGCCTAGCATAATCTTGTGAGTCACCAGGTTTAGTTTAGTTGAATCTAAGAATCTAAGAAGATCCCTTAGTGGGTGTTGCACACCCTAAGGCATTAATATATCCATACCACTTGATCCATCAAAATACATGATCATTTAAGAGTGAGATCTTAGGTATTTTAAATGTTCTTCAACAAATACAGATAGGGTGATAGTTCAGATACAAATTAAAACCTCCAAAGTTTGGGGCTGGCCTCACGGCCAAGTCATTAAGTTCGCATGCTCCACTTCAGTGGCCCAGGGCTCGCTGGTTCAGATCCTGGGCACAGACCTAGCACAGCTCATCAGGTCATGCTGAGGCAGCATCCCACATAAAAGAACTAGAAGGACCTATAACTAGGATATACCACTATGTACTTGGGGGCTTTGGGAGAAAAAAAAAGAGGAAGATTGGCCACAGATGTTAGCTCAGGGCCAATCTCCAAAAAGAAAAAAAAAAAATTTATGTTCTGAGCCAGCCCTGATGATGGCTTGTTAAAGTCTGGCACACACTCTGCTTCGGTGGCCTGGGTTCGGTTCCCGGGCACAGGATCACACCACTCATCTGTCAGTAGCCATGCTGTGGCAGCAGCTCACATATGAGAGCTAGAAGGACTTAACAAATAGACAACTTTACAGGAGCTTTGGGAAGGGAAAGGAAAAAAAGGAGGAAGATTAGCAAGAGATGTTAGCTCAGGGCAAATCTTTCCCAGCAAAATAAAATTTAAGTTCTTGAGGACTTCATTTCTTTTTTTTCCCCCTTCTCCTCAAAGCTCCCCCAGTACACAGTTTTATATTTTAGTTGTGGGTCCTTCTAGTTGTGGCATGTGGGGTGCTGCCTCAGCGTGGCTTGATGAGCAGTGCTGGGTCTGTGCCCAGGATCGAAACCTGTGAAATCCTGGGCCACAAAAGTAGAGCACATGAACTTAACCACTTGGCCACAGGGCCAGCCCCTAGGACTTTACTTCTTTACAGAATTAACAGCTGTGAATACAGTATCCTGAGAGTCACCCAACATATTCAAAGGTAAATGCTTTCGTCTTATTTAGTTCTATCTATTGTACTCAAAATGGTCCAGATTTTCTGGTATATTCACGATTGCAAACACTGTCCTAGTGAATTTTTTTCGCTTTATTTTCTTCTGTATGACTCCATTTTATTCAATAAATGCGTCCTTAAATGTACAAATAAATGAGATTTATTCCTATACTTTGTTCATGAGTATAAGATAAAAAGTAAATTCACATTAGAAAAAAATCTCTTCAGGTATTTATAATTTTTAGTTCAGAAACTATGGCAACGGTATGCCCATATTATTTTGGAAATGTAAATTTAAGATTCTTTTAAGGCTCTAAAGTCTAGAAGGAAGGTAAGCTACTTGCGCAGCAGGGGGCAGCACCAGAAGGAGGGACAGCAGACTTACCTCCACACAGCAGTTTTCATCTAAGAAAATGTCTCCTTTCTTATCTTTCAGATCCTCGCCCACATAATAAGAAATTATGTTCGGTTTTAGTACAAACCAGCGTTCAGTCCAGTTTTTCCGTTTATGGCCTTTTTTCATCATGTAACCCTATGAAAGATTAAATCTGATATAAATGCCTGTCCTTTTATTTACAAGAGCTGAGATCTCTTCCGTGACATTCTAGCCTACTCCATTAACTGATATACAGTCCTGAACACACGAATATCAATGGCTCTCGCCCTTTTGGGTCATGAACCCTCTGACGATCTCGGAAGGCCAGGGGCACTATACGCACTCAAATTCATGCAACCACATACAGAGAAAAGCTCACACAGAATTTCACAACTCAGAGACGACCCCTGCCCCCAAGCTCTACACAGCCAGCAGACTCAGAACTCCTGCTGTTAACAGCACTGTGGTCTTTTAAAATTCCTTACCTTTTAGAGATACCTATTGAAATATTTATAGACAAAATGAAATGTCTGAGATTTGTTTCAAGATAACACAGGAGAGGCAAACGCAGGAGGGGTAGCATTAACCGTGTGTTGGTGGTTACTGGGGCTGGGTGGTGGTATATGGAAGTTCATTATACTACTCTGTCTGTTCTGTTAAAAAAAAAAAAACCCTAACAATGATTCTCAGTAAATTAAAACCTCAGTCAATGAAAACGCTAAAAGATGTCAACTTGGCCAAGTACAGCTTCTCAACCAATCACCTACTGGCATCAACCTACCTTTCTACCTAACCTCTCAGTATTCTGGAGGATGAACTCTGCTCCAGATGAGCAAAAAAAGAACTGGACCGGTACTTAGGATACTGGCTTCTAAGTGCAGCGTCTACGCTCACACTGACCAGCCCTGTACTTCCTTCACATATCTCAGCCTCAAAGCTATGTAATTCAAATTTGTACTTCAGCAAAATTACACATTATAGGCCAAAGCCTTTGAGGGCTGTTTGAGAACAGCTGAGATTTTAAATATTAAATGTACAGGTGCTGATAGCCTATGGTAGAATATACATTATCATTAAATATATGATATTAACTCAGTTGTATGTATCCTTTGATTATTACACTAAGTTCTAATCTTATTACTTATTCAGTTTCCTAATACTTGGCCATTTAAGCAAAAGCCATCTCACACTGCAATCCATCTGCAGTCCTATATCCCGCCATCCTGATGGGCCTCGAAGTCTTCTTCAGACAGACATCATGTCTCATACCTCTTTGCAGCACCAAAAACCTACACAAATTAAGCCTCAATGAATGTTTACTGATTGGCACCATCAGGAAAAAAGAGCAAAGACAACAATATCATTACTGAGCAAAGAAAGGACCAAAATAAGAAAATCCCAAATCAGAGTTATGAATAATATAATAATGTAAGAAATTTTAAAAACCCACTAAAAAATATATAAATTCTATTTAACAAGCATTAAGCTTCCCATATGTATATCAGATACTATCTAGGTGCTGAGAAAACAAACATCATAAAAAAGATAAATGCAATCTTGCTATATAAAGATATCTTTTTCCAAAAGTAAGGTATTCTTCTCCTTTTGAAAAAATAATATATAACAATCATGTACATAGATTCATGTATAGAATCATATATAGCAGTAAGTTTAATAATAAGAACGGAATAAAAAAGAAAATAAAATTTACAGAAATCCCACAATCCAGGAGCAATCACTTTAACATTTTGGTAAGCATCCTGCCAGACAGCTCTATACACACATTACATGAAAGGGATTACAAGATACCTGCTGTTGAACAAGCTTTTTCTCTGAATAACACGCCATAGGGATCTTTCAAATCAAAGAGTATGGATGTACACATCAAAGTACTTTAAAAATAGTTTGGAAATGTAATCATTTAAACAGTTCTTTTAAAATAGTCACTTCTCAATGCTTAACTGTACTTCAAAACGGCACCAATAATTCTTTAAAATGAAAGCCTAATATAAGTCTGGGAAAATACAAAACTTTATTCCCGATCTAAATCAGTGTAAAAGTATGCATGACTTAGACTTATCTTTGTGATGAAAATTTGTTTTACTTCAAATACGTCAAATTCTAAAGGCGAGGAGAAATACGTTATAGGACTCTTACCTGTTTCAACACATCTAATATGAGCTCGTTAAAGACTTCATTAATTGCCATAGACACCGTCTGCCGATCCATGCCTTTGCTAAATTGGCCATTTCCAATAAGCTCAATCAGTTCCCAGGCGGAAAGGCCATCTTTACTGTCATCAAAGTTGACTTTATAATGTTCAAATTGTTCTTGCTGCCAACCTCCTCCCATAGCTTCTGTAAGTTTCTTAAGCAGGTATTCAATCTATATGAAGAAATAAAAAGTTATTTCCTAGTAAAAATATAACCTTTTAACTTAGGTGTGTATCTGTGTTATTTACATTGATACGGTCAATTTAAGAAATTTAAGAACTCTTTTACAGTTCCAAAAGTGTATCTTCAAAGATCATACTATCAGAGAGAAAGGTATGAATAAATGCCACTGGTTCTCTATTATCTAGAATAAGTAAAGGAATCAAAAACTGATAACCCTCTAATAGTATAGTATACTTGTATACAGAACTAAAGTGAATTACACGCATACACTACCATACACACACTAATTAATGTGATCTGATTACTCTCTTGGATAAATATTTCAATATACCAGAATATTAATCTTAATGAACTAATACACAAGCACAAACTTAAACAAGCATCTCAAAGTAGTATGTACAAGTTACTCCCCAATTTACATATTTTCCATGTAAGCCAATTACTTGAAATTCATGCTGCTTCCTCCTATTAGAACAGACAATGCTATAAATAATGGCTGAATTCCTAGCCTGGGCTGGAAGAGCTTATTAAATCTTGAAACACACACCTTCGTGTAGAAAATACTGCTACTGAAATAACAGCAGTTAAACAAAATAGTGAGGCAGTAATGCTGAATGAGAAATTAGTCTCTCTTATACTCTGGAAAGCCTGGGTACCCTACGGGGCTCTCAAATTCAACATGTCCAAAATGAAAGAATCGTTTCTTCCTGCCAAATGGCTTCCCCTTCGGTTATTGGTTTCCGATGGGAGCAACACCATTCACCCATGCCAGGATCCTTGTTCCCCAAGCTCTTACATCAAATCAGTGACATGAAAATTCTACTCTTTTTACTTCCCTAGATCAGTGTTTTTCAAAATGTAGGTTATAATCCAATATGAAATCAACTAGTAGTAACAAGCATTTTCTTATGAAAAATATTTGAGTTCCTCCACAATAAAGACAAATATTGTTTTGTGACAAGTTCTTCTTTGTATATGCACGTGTCTTTGCATGCTGGGTTGTGAAATAAAACGTTTATCTTCCTATGGGCTGCAGTCAAAACAGAATGAAAAACTTTGCCCAAGACAGTTCTCAAATCCGTTCCCTCCTATCAACCTGCCTTTGTTCAGGCGTCCCAGTTGGTACCCTGGCCTCTAGCATTGCCCGTTATTTATATTCTGCCAGAGAGATTTTTCTAAAACAAAACCAGAGCCTGTGACCCCCCAATCTTTAAAGCCTGCCCTGGCTCCCTACCACTTTAAAGATAAAGGCTGAGCTCTGTGCGTCCCCACTTGCTGTCTCTAATGGTATGTGTTCAAGTCCCACACTGTCTAGGATATTACTACTCAAAGTGAGGTATGTGGATCAGCCAGCAGCACCACCACCTAGAAACCTATTAGAAATGAAGAATTTCAGATCCCCACCAAAGACGCAAAAAATCAAAATCTGCCCCTTAACAAGAAGCCCAGGTACTTCCACATGTACATTAAAATTCAAGAAGCACTGCTCTTGCAAACCTGCTCTGACCAACCCTAACCCAGCCCAGGTGTTCTTAGCATACTGCATAAAATTCTCTCTTTACACATTTGCTTCCCCATCATTTTCTGAATTCCTTACAGGAGGAACCATGTCTCACTCATCTTTCAATCTCCAGAACTCTGCATGGTACCCAGAATGCAGTAGCAATTAATGTTTGCTAAACTGAAATAAATTAAGCTAAGTCTCAATCTTCTCATCTATGAAATGAGCATAATAACACTCACCTTATATAACTACTGTGGGGATTAAAGGAAGCTAACACAGAATATTCTGCACCACGCCTGGCCCAGCAGGTACTCCATCAATGTTACTTCCCTTCTGCAGTGAGTGGAATATTATTCAACCATTTAAAATTACATTTAAGAAAGCATTTATGAAATACCATAATGGGAAGAAGAATGCAAAATTAAATTTACTTATGATTTCCACTGCACAAAGATTATATAAATATTTTGACAAATACTGGAGGAAAACATACAAATAGGAAGTCTAATTGTTACAGGTAGAATTGTGAAATTTTTTCCTTCTCTTCTTTGCACTTCCATTAATTTGGTTATAATGCTGTTTGTGAAATAACACATTTTAACAGAAAAAGAATGCCAATAATAGGAAAAACGTTTGCAAAGAAATGTACATTCACAAAATATCACAAAGTCAAAAAATATCAAGAGTTCTACAGATTTAATTTGATGAGATACTGTAAGCCCCTCTAACATGGAGATTATCTTACCCCCTAAATGTAGCACATGGTAGGTGGTCAACAAATGTTTACTTGTTGGAGGAAAACACACTTAGGTCTTTCCTTTCTCTTGTTGGAGATATATCATCTACTGTAAAGTTTATCAGATATTATTTTCTTGGCTCTTAAATAGAAGTAACAGGGATAGTCAGTGGAAAAGAGAAAAAGAGGAAGAGTGAGAAAGGGAAGACAGAAGGAGAGAATCGGACAGAAAAGAGAAGAGGGGGGAAAAGATGAAAGGCAAGAAGAGGTTGAAGAGAGAAAGAAAAAGAAAGTCAAAGAGGACATGACGATAAATAATTGCCCGGGTCGAGTGGCTGAGAGGCCCTGACATGTACGGAAGTTCCACCTCCCTAAGGCAGCAGTAGAGGGGCCCTTGCTGCCTGGTCACAACTTGGGGCAGAGGCAGCAGCGGCACAGCTGGAAGCTTTAGGAGTGAGGCCACTGTAAGCCTGTGCATGTGACCACATCTATGTACAGGATGACAAAAAGTGGAACGACAAGATGGTGCACTCGACTGAACATTTGTACTGCAAGTCAGGAAACAGCCCCAGCTCTTCGTGCCACTGTGAGGGCACCCAAGCCCCTCAGGCTCCGAGCTTCAGTTCCTCCTGGCTATCAGACGACCTTTTATGACATTAGTAACAGAAAGTGCTTGTTAGGAGCAAACTCAACTCTCTTAGGAGCAGCCTCCCAGGTTCATTCCGAACCTTTCTTCAGGTGCCCTCCCAAACTCTCCTGAGTTTGACACCAGCACGCAGCATCTGCTCCTCAAGCTCAGTGACCTTGCCAGACAACTAATCTAAATGCATTTCCTGCTGACTTTCAACACAGCCACATACTTATCATAACCAAACAACTTAAAGATCTCTTAATTCATTACACCGGGCCAAGGAGAGACAAACATTACCATTCTCATCTGTTCAGTTACACTCAGTAACAGGTCACGTGCTGCCGTGTTGGTCTCCAGTGGCCCACTTCAATTCTAAGAGCTCATTCAGTTTCAGGAAGCAGCTTACTTCCTCCTTCCAAGCAAGTTTTACCAAAAATAACAAAGAATAAACTTTCAAGCTGCATGTGATTTTTGAGGTCTTTGGCTCCAAAATTTATTTTGTTAAAAGTTCTTGATCCTGGTCATCATTTAAAACGGCCTGTATTGGCTTAACAACAGCTCAGGTTTTATTTCACTAAGAGTGTCTTGAAACTATTTCAGGTTTGATATTTAATTGCATCAAGGCAGTTTTTCCAAATAGGCCCACAACAGACACATCCTGTTTTGTTCTTGGCTCTGTAGGAAATGAATACTAATGTAAAAACTATCCTTTACAGACACACATTTCCAGGAATACCATTTGACAAAAATTACAGAACTATTTCAAATGGGGACATACTATTTCTTGATTTTCGTGTGGTCAGTCATTTAAATATACTTATTCAATATTCTTGACACTACTTTCTGGGTAACGGGAAACGCAGTCAAAAGCCAACTTCTTTGTATCAGTTATGTTATTTACATAACTACCACTGTTATTTATATCTTATATGGTATTAATCAAAGCTAGAGAATAAAATCTTACTTAAAAACATTCTGGACTTAAAATGCAAGTGATCATTACGGTAAGTGGATTATTAGAAACATAAAAATTACTTTAAATTTATGAAGCCTAAAAACTATTGGTAAGATTACAAATTAAACTCATGTATATACTCATGACAAACTAACATACTATTCTTCAAATTTTATTCTTTAAATATACCTGTTGTCACATTAAATTTTATGAAAATCTGTAAATCTAAAACTAGCTCAAGACAGCTTTTTTTAAATGCTGTTAAAGTATTCAGGAAGGAAGCAAAATCTAACAGAGAACGGCCACCTTAAGAAACATTGTGACTCAAGTGTTTTCCACAAAATAGCTCGACCTGAGTCTGCAGCTCTTGGTCAAAGACCAGGAGACGCGCTAAGAGCTCAGTAAATACAAGGCCACACTGTAAACCTCAGGAGGCGGGTTCAGCAGCCAGGCAAGCCAACTCCACACAAACCTGCCCCGGTGACCCCTTCTTTCCCCATACAAGTCCTCCTAGCCACAGAGGAATAATCTGTAAAACCAACTCTAACTCTACTTCTAACCAGAAGAAATGCTGATGGAGTTACGGACGTCAAAACAGGGAGTAAGTCCAAACAATCACATGACCAGGTTGCTGCCTGGCTATTCTATCAAGTCAAAGAGAGGCTGTTCCTTTCTCAAATTAGATTAACTTGTTTTGGAAGAGGACCGAGACATTCCTGTCAGCCTGCAAAGATGAAGGTAAGCATGCCACGAGTCTTGGCTGTGCTCTGGGGGGCAGAAAGTATATAGTCGAGGCACACATCAAAGCACACGTGGGTCCCAGTTTTTCGGGCCACCTGGAGCAGACATTCTGTGAGTTTCTTAGGCAGAGCACTTAGGAAGCTGATGCTGAAACGGGCTCCCTTCACAGCCTGTGGCTCAGTGATGATTTAAAGCCGATGCCAAATCCTCCACATTAGGCAAGTGCCTCCTCGAGGAATAAGGTAAGTCTCCTTACTAATTTCTAATTCTGAAATCAGGACAAGGCCACTTTCAAGCCCACTTTCAAGCCCACCGTGAATATTTTAGTGATGAAGAACCAAAACCACACAGGTAAGAGACCCTCCCACTTTCACTTCCAAAGAAACATAAATAAATTTGGAACACTGAGTATAACTGTAAAATGTCTTAAAAGACGATATTGGAGATTTTATTAGCATAATTCTTCCAAGTAGCAGCTAGGTTTTTAAAATACCAATGATGTATCTTTTTCTACGCCTATCAATATTCCATTCCCTTCTACATGCCTTTGTATTAAGCTAGACAATCTTCATGGACAAAAATTCCATAGCATGTTTCATTTTTTATTTCCCCTTGAATATACACGCACATCATTCTGGTGATTAAGTACTAACAAACGATTCCCACCACTAAAGTGAAACTGCCTTCTCCTTGATTACCAACAGCCACCTAACTGTTAAATCCAAAGGCAACTTCTCACTCATCACCAGTTTTTTTTTTTAGTTTTTTTAAAGGAAGATTGGCCCTGAGCTAACATCTGTTGTGTTGCCAATCCCCCTCTTCTTTTTTTTTCCCCTCCCCAATGCCGCAGTACATAGTTGTATATTCTAGTTGTAGGTCCTACTAGTTCTGCTATGTGGGACGCCCCCTCAGCATGGCTTGATGAGTGGTGCTAGGTCCACGCCCAGGATCCGACCCAGCAGAGCACGCCAAGTTAACCACTCAGTCACAGGGCTAGCCCCTCGCTCGTCACTGTTTAATTCTACTGTAGCACTGAATGCCAGGCACTACTTTGCTAGAACTTTGTCTTTCTTCGGCACTCACGACTCAGCGCTCTCCCAGCTCTCCTCCTCTCTCACAGACTGTTCAATTCAACTTCCTTTACCAAATACACTTTCTCCTCCTGCTACAGAGATGGTCCCAAGGTTCTGTCCACAGCCTCACTTCTCCCACTACAGTCTCCTCCTGCCTGATCTAACCTAGTTCCACGGCTTCCTTATCTCTGTCTCTAGCCCTGGCCTCTCACAAGCTCTAGATAGGTACTTCAGTTGAATACAGGGCTGTTCCACAAGGATGTTCCATCTAAAATGCCAAATGTACATCATCATACACTGTATCCCTAATTTGTCCATCATCCTGTCATTCACTCATTCATACACACACAGACACACCCATTTAGTGAGCACTTATCATAGGGCCAGACACTATGCTAAATCCTTCACATATATCAACTATTTTAATCCATACAAGAGTCCAGTGAAGAAAGCTGTTATCCCAAAAAGATGGGGACCCAAACAGAGAGATTAATTTGTTCAAGGCCACATAGCTACAAAGTGGTGGAGTGAGGATTCAAACCAGGCAGTCTGATTTCAAAGACCATACTTTAAACAACTACACTATATAACCCGCCCAGGCCTGACAGTTGGCTATATTTCCGCCCAGCCAGGCAGTATGAGCTTGCTCCTGTGACCTCCACATCCGTCCCATCTGGCCTTCTTTTCCATACTCAGTGGCACTACTGTACTTCAGTCCTCAATGCCACTTACCTCAACTTTCCATCTCCCATCTTTCCATGTTTCATCTATTTACCTGCCACTCTCTTGCTCAAAAATTATCAGTGGCTCACGGCTCCCCACTGCCTACAGGATAAAGTCAAAACTCTTTCCAGCCTTATCTACCACCACTCTTCTTCACGGCCATCATGTTCCAGGTAGAAAGGGTATGTGTCATTCTTTTAGATTGCCCAGCATCTAACCCCTTTATGTCTGGGGAATTCCCTACCTCCCAATGTAGAAGGTAAAAACGTAAATGTACCCTTTCCAAGCCTCCTGTGCAGCTAGCTTATGGCACCTGACCATACCAATTTGATGCACTATCCTCTGACTGTGAATGTGACTGTGAAGCGGGGTCTATAAAGAACGCTCCCTCGTAGCAGGAACAGTCGCAGGAAGACTTCAGTCCCTAGGTGGCACCCAGCGGGCAGGGCTGGAGGAGTTCCATGGTACAGGTGCAACACATACCCTCTGGTTGCAGCAGTATTTTTTTTGTGGTTCCTCACTGGAGTGACCAGTATGGTTCCGGGCTGCATAGTGTCCACACCTGGTTTTTCAGCCATCATGGTGATTCTGTGAGGTACCCAATATCCTTTTTGGCTTAAATCAACCAGTCCAGCTGTTTCCAAGTAAGCATCCTGACTGGCAATTCAGTCAAGCTGGATCCCGCACTCATCTCAGAACATGCCCTTTGCTTTCCTGCCTCACGTAACCTTGCCCACTGTTTCTTCCATCCACAATTCTTCTCCCTGCTTTCTCCTTTAGTCAAAATTCTTCCCATCTTTTAAGGCCCAGCAGAAGTGCTACTTGCCCTATAAACATAATAGTTAACACTTAAAGAGCACTTTCTAAGGGCCAGGCATTCCTCTCATTTAATCTTCACAAGAACAGCAGGCGTTGATGCTAGCATTAGCCCTATTTTACAGCTGAGGAACCTGAGCAAAAACAAATTCAGTAAATTGTCCAAGGTCACGCAGCTAGTGAACAGTGATGGAGGCAGAATTCAAATCTAGGAGATCTGACCCCGGACCCCTGCTCTTGAGCAGAGAACAGAAAATTATGGCCCACAGGTCAAACCAGCCCAGCGGCTAAAGCTGGCTCACAGCATGTTTTTATACACACAGAATCTAAGAATGGTTTTTCCATATTTAAGTTGTTGGGGGAAAAAAAATCAAAAGAATAATATTTCATGACCCATGAAAAATATAAAATTCAAATTTCAACATCCATTTTATTGAAGCACAGCAACATACTGTCTGCGGCTGCTTTCATGCTGTAACGGCAGAGTCGAGTAGCTGCGACAGAGACAGAAGGACCCAAAAAGCCCACAAAGCCTCAAATATTTACTGTCTGGCCCTTTACTGAAGAAGTCTGAGGCCCTGCTTCCAACCAGCATTGCCTCTCTTGACAAGCCTTCCCCGATTCCTTACTTCCCGAAGCTGGTGCAAATCTTCCCCTTTGCTGGATCTGCACAGCATCTGCGTCTCTATTCTAACAGGCAGTCTATTTTGCTGTGAATTACACTTGTCTTGTTTTTTCCTCCAGCAGACTGTAAATTCCTTGAAGGCAGGAAGTAATCTTTTTCGCTTTGTATTCCTCTTGGTGCCTTGCTTACTGTTGGCAGTCAATAAATGCATGCTGATTTTAAATAAAACATTGCAGTGAACTCATGGATTTTCCCAACATGAGTCATAGAAATCATAGACTAGACTCCATATTGACAGGGTGGGTAATCATGGGCACCCTCGACCACTACTGGTAGGTGTATAAACTGGTACAGACTTTCTGAAGGGCAATTCTGCCTCTTCATCTAATACTTTGAAAGTGTAAATTTCTTAGAACTCAGAATTCCACTGCTGGAAATTTATCCTAAGGAAATATGCAGACTAGTATGCAAAAATGTATGCAAAATAGCAGTCTTAGGCATTAACACATTTACTGAGTACGTATTACATGCCAGGCACTGAGTTAAGTCCTTTAAATGCAGAACCTTACAACTCTTAGAGTAAACATTATTATGAGCCCTATTTAATAGATGAGGAAATTAAAACTCAAGAGGTTAAACAATTTATCCCTTAAATAAAGGTTAACGGATTACAGATGACTGTTTTTTAAGGGGAGAACTACAGCTGATTTTAATTTTGCATATTAGTAGTCTTTTCTAAATTTACTACTGTAATAAGCAGGTATTACACGTATAATTCTTTTTAAAAGATTTTATTATTTTCCTTTTTCTCCCCAAAGCCCCCTGGTACGTAGTTGTATATTCTTCGTTGTGGGTCCTTCTAGTTGTGGCATGTGGGATGCTGCCTCAGCATGGTCTGATGAGTGGTGCCACGTCCGCGCCCAGGATTCAAACCAATGAAACACTGGGCCGCTTGCAGCGGAGCGCGCGAACTTAACCACTCGGCCACGGGGCCAGCCCCTACACGTATAATTTATGAGTGCAGTAAGATATCACAGAAACCTTACTCCTGTATTTTTTTTCCTTTGGAAGGTCAGGGAAAATAACCCAGAACAAAACAAGTAAATGTCCTTTTTCATTTGCTTTGGAAAGTATGACAAAAAGTCACCATCCTGGACTTTGAAACAAGAATACTACTTTCTCACATAAAACAGCCTTGAAACAACATTCTGGATCCTACGTGTTTCCCATACAGCATCACTCAGCCAGTCCTTACGGTTTGCCAATATGCAAGGAGACAGAAAATGATGTTGTGACTGGTACAGAATAAAGACTCCTCGGACATGAGGATGCAGTCATCTATAATTACAGCAATTTAGAGAGGAAGCGCCCCACCCTGGCTGCAGATCTCCAGGGTACTGCATGATCCCAAAGCCCTAAGCTTTAGACTTGCTTTGAATTCAAGCTGTTTTCCCTCTGATGTGAAAACAGCAGTGCTGGATCTCCTCCTACGTCTACAATGCATTCACACAAACACTTCCAAGCTAATCTATTAAATGCTAAGACGGCCATGGAAAAGCTTCCCAGAGCCACACCTTACCTCTTCTGGCACAATAATTAACGGATACTTGTCCTCAGATAAAAAGTTGAAAATAACCCATACTTTAAAGGCATCTTCTTCTGTAATGAGCAGGGGACTCTTTGTGAGGTTTTTTTTGACACAGAGGGTCCAACACATCCTGTTGAATTCAATCTTGTCAAAGTTGTCTTGGACCTAAAAAAGGAATGAGGAAAAGTTCCAATGAACCAGTCCAAAATAAGCAGTATATAAGCCAAGTAAAACAGAAAGATGAAGCCTACTACAGGCTTCCATTTTAATCAATCCAATTAACCAATAACCATTTTCTAAATATTTGCTTAGGTACCACACTTTCAAAGGCTCAATTAAGAATGTTATATTTAGCTTGACGCTGAAGCAACATCTGTCCATATCACTCACTTGGCACATAAAATACTGACCTGCCGAAAGGTTATTTTTTCATGTGTACACATTACCTTCTAAATAGACTACCGATCCTGATACAGAGGAGTGGAGAATGTGAATTACTCAATAGGAGCCACACACAGATAGCTCATCTTTACCTATATAGTCCAAGAAGATAGTTTCTTTAGGGAAAAACTGTTTAACTGAAATTCTAAAAAGACAGACCTGCCATTCAGTCATTCAATCATGCATAACATTCCCTCAGCATCTACTATGAGCCAAGTGCTATGCTACACATTAAGGATATAAAGATGAAGAACTTGGTCTCTGCTTTTAGAACATTCATAGTTTATTTCGGAAAACAGATACAAATAGACAAATTTTAACTTAACAAAGTGTATAATTCAATAGTTTTTCATTCGTTCAACAGACAAAACTTAGCAATTATTACTTCTAAGGGACAATGCAAAGATATTTACTATAATACTAGCTCATTCTCCAAGGAATGTCAATGACAATTACAATATAGTGTGATAAGGACTACAACAGAGATAAGCAGAGGGTTCTGTGGGAACACTGAGGCGCTAAATCAATCCTAAGAATTAGGGGTAGATTTTCAGAAAGAACCACATGACAACAGAGCTGAGTCCCAAAGGACCATCAAGAGTCAAACAGTATAAGAATGGGGAAAAGGGTATTCCAGGTAGAACAGAATGTGGAAAAGCCCAGAGGTGGAGACAACTAACGATGATCAATTTGGAAGAACCGTGGGACATTTAATGTGAATGGGACACTTAGTGCTATGCGCCGAGGCTTTTCATAAGGGCAAATAACAGAAACTACCTTGGGTTCCTTTAAATGGAAAAGGAATTTACTGGAAAAACAATGAGTAACCTTAAAGATCCAACACAAGGGCTGGAAAATTTAGGCTCTGAAAGCAAGCCATTACCAAGCTAGACTAGGCAGTTAGAACTGTAGCTGAAACTGTTCATGTTCTTTTTTTTTTTTTTTTTTGAGGAAGATTAGCCCTGAGCTAACTACTGCCAATCCTCCACTTTTTGCTGAGGAAGACTGGCCCTGAGGTAACATCCATGCCCATCTTCCTCTACTTTATATGTGGGACGCCTACCACAGCATGGCTTTTGCCAAGTGGTGGCATGTCCGCACCCGAGATCAGAACCAGCGAGCCCCGGGCCACCGAGAAGCAGAACGTGCGAACTTAACCGCTGTGCCACCAGGCCGGCGCCTTCTTTGAATGCAGTGATGGAGAGACCACTGCCAATGTAACCTAAGGCTGTCACTGTTGCCACTGACCCAGACCTTGATCCTCTGTGTCACTCAGTGCACATTCAAAGTCCCATTAGCTTCGCCTGGGTCACATTCCTATGCTCTAGTTGCCAGAGAGCAAGGAAAATGAGTGTCTGAACTTTTCACTATCTGAGATGTGAGGTAGGTCCTGTCCCACACCAAGGCGCTGTGGACATTTCCCAAACATAAGAAAAGAGTTCAGATAGTGGACAAATATCCACTGCATGGGGCACCGTGAAAGATGAGGCTAGAGAGGGAGGTGAAGACCAGATCATGAAGAGGCTTAAATTCATGTTAAGGAGTCAGGATTTATCTGCACTGCAAGAGTGAAAGGGAGCAATACACACAACCTGCACTTCAAAAGCCACATTCTGGGACAACACGGAAGATGTACTGGAGGAGGCAGAGGGGTGGACGACAACATGACCAAAGCACTTCCACGCAGAGAGAAAGAGCGTGGTGTGTACTGTAAGGAAGAAGTCACTAGCCAGCTGCAGGGAGAAGTTTCTCTCGATCCCTAAGTTTCTCAGAATTCGTGGTGGGCAAGCCAGTTCCCCAGAAGCAGGAAGATCTCCTTTGCGCCCTGCCTTCAGCACCCTGTGTCCGTCTGGCACCATCTCCCGTGGCCCCATCGTATACAACAGGTCCCATGAAGGGAAAGCAGTAGCTACTACTGCACCTTCTCTTTTCTCTTTTCTTTTCCTTAACACCTTTTACTGAGAATTTAGTATATGCTTGGCATTTTATACGCAGCTTCTCACTTAAACTTCATACTAGCCCCATAAGGTTAAATATTGTGCCTATTTTACCAATCAAGAAACAGAGGTTCAGAAAAATCGAGTACTTTTTCCAAGTTCACATGGCTAGTTAATATCAAAACCAGAGTTTAAATGAAAGCTCAAATGCTGTCTCCTTCCACCACGCCAAAGTGCTTGCAGAACTCAGTAGATGGAGGACATCTGTGTGATGGAAGACATCTCTACAGGACTGGTTTCAAAGGCCACAACCATCAACTCTACCTACCTGCACCCACAAAAAACACTACGTGGAAGATACGCCACACAGACGAAATGACATGTGCACGAAAGCACACAGCTTTGCCCTGAGGAACAAGAAGTGATTCTGTGTGGATTATGTGGTGAATCATAGGGTTCCTCAGGGGGAGCGGTAAGATTTACGGCTGGAAGAACGAACACAGACCAAATCACAAAGAGATTTATAATTTTAAGAAATACCTGTAAGAAACCCCCAAACAAAGAGTTTTAGAGCTGAGAACGAGCAGGTCATCTTCAGCCCAGAAAAGATGCTATTTGAGGTGGGCTTTGAAGTACAATGAAGAGTACAAGGAAAAGCGCTCCAAAGGACAGGAAGGGAAACGGCACGAGCAAAGGCACAGCAGAGCACGTCAACCATGTTTGGGGAAGCGCCACAGGATGAAGGGGACAAAAACAAGGGAGAAGGAAAGACAAAGTTTTCACCTACGGGCACCTTCAGCCTGAAGTTCTGGTAAGACATCTGGATGGAGGTGTCCAAAGACAATCAAAGAAATGGACCTGTAACCTAAGAGGAGAGGCAGATTTGTGAATCAACCGCATGCCGAGGATGACTGAAGCCGTGATGGTCGATGAGATCACTGAGAGAGAACATAAAGCGAGAAGAGAGACAGGATCAAAAACAGAACCTGAGGGATACATTTACAAAGCAAGACAAGGAAGAGGAATTATGATGACTGAAAGAGCAATCAAAGTGGTAAGAGAACCGCAGAGACACAAAAACTGAGTGAGGAAGCATTTAAGAAGGCGTGATCATGGGGGCCGGCCCTGTGGCCAAGTGGTTAAGTTCGCACGCTCCGCTACAGTGGCCCAGGGTTTCGCCGGTTCGGATCCTGGGCATGGACATGGCACCACTCATCAGGCCACGTTCAGGCGGCGTCCCACGTGCCACAACTAGAAGGGCCCACAACTAAAATATACAACTATGTACTGGGGGGATTTGGGGAGAAAAAGCAGAAAGAAAAAAATAGATTGGCAACGGTTGTTAGCGCAGGTGCCAATCTTAAAAAAAAAAAGGCTTGATCAAGTGTCAAATGCTGCAGAGAGATTAAGGAGGAGTGGTTTCAGAAAAGACCACTGGTTTTGCAATTCAGTGGTCACTAGTTACCCTCAAGACAGCCAAGAAGTCTGGGTAAAAGTCAGACTGCAATGGGATCAGAAACCAAGCAAATTTTCCCTAAACAGTCTTCCCAGGAAATAAGTAGTGGCTTTTTGATCCAAGTTCACTGCATCTTATGTAATTTTAATAAGTTGTCTGTTTGGTTCATTCCTTCTCTAACATCTAATTCTTTAGATTTACATTAGATTAGATTCTAAAGAATCTAATTCTTTAGATTTCTTTTCTGCTTCAAAGGTAAAAGCATATTAAATGATAGCATTTACACCTTTAAAAAAAGTACAAATCAGATCACTATGAAAAGCCCATAGCTAACACATCATACTCAACAGTGAAAAACTGAAAGCCTTTGCTCTAAGATCAGGAACAAGGCAAGGACGCCCACTCTCACCACTTCTATTCAATACGGTACTACGAGTCCTAGCCAGAGCAGTTATGCAAGAAAAAGAAATAAAAAGCATCCAGATTGAAAAGGAAGAAGTAAAATTATCTCTGTTTGCAGATGACATGCTCTTTCTTATATGTAGAAAACTCTAAAGATTCCACAAAGAACTGTTGGAACTAATAAACAATTCAGCATAGTTGCAGGACACAAAATCGGCACTCAAAGATCAGTTGTGTTTCTATACATTAACAGTGAACAATCTGAAAAGGAAACTAAGAAAACCATCCCATTTACAACAGCATCAAAAAGAATAAAACATTAGGGCCAGCCCAGTGGCATAGTGGTTAACTTCGCATACTCCGCTTCAGCTGCCTGCGGTTCATAGGTTCAGATCCTGGAGACGGAGCTAGCACTGCTGATCAAGCCACACTGTGGCAGCATCCCACATAAAACAGAGGAACGCTGGCACAGATGTTCACTCAGGGACAATCTTCCTCCAGCAAAAAGACGGAGACTGACAACAGATGTAAGCTCAGGGCCAATCTTCCTCAAAAAAATAAATAAAATAAAAAATAAAATAGAATACTTAGGAACAAACTTAACCACGCACACAAAAGACTTGCACACTGAAAACTACAAAAGATTACTCAAAGAAATTAAAGATGACACAAATGGAAAGAGATCCATGTTGATGAACTGGAACACTTAACATTGTGAAAATGTCCATACTACCCAAAGCAATTTACAGATTCAGTGAAATCCCTATTAAAATCCCAATGGCTTTTTTTTTTGCCATCATCAGAAAAAAGCAGAAAACATCATCCTAAAACTCATACGGAATGTCAAAGGACCATGAACAGCCAAACAATCTCGAGAAGAACAAAGCTGGAGTACACTTCCTGATTCCAAAACATTACAAAGCTACGGG